TCTTTGTTAAATATTTGTTTGTTTTTGTTCTAATTGAGATTGTGACACGGTGATGACTGCTGACCCCTATTTTGACAACTTTACCTATTATGTCTGTTTTGTTCACGTTTCGATGTAAATATAACGGAATTTGAAGCGACTGTCATACAAGTGAGAGGTTTAGCGCTATAAAACCAGGTTCAATCCACCATTTTCTACATTTGAAAAAACCTGTACCAAGTCAGGAATATGACAGTTGTTGTCCATTCGTTTAATGTGTTTTATCATTTGATTCTGCCATTTGATTAGGGACTTTTTTTAATTTTCCTCGGAGTTCAGTATTTTTGTGATTTTACTTTTTTCAAAGAAAGGCAAGTAACTTGCACAGTTTTATTGAAGTTCATACTAAATATAAATTGACAATGAATATGGAAATGGCTGCAACGTAAATATAAGTGATTTAGATTTATGATTGACTATAATTGCACTTCCTCTCACGCATTCACGATGTCCTTAATCAGAACCGATCCCATCACGCATGAAATAATGAAAATTGGCAGTTTCTAGATTAATTACGACGTCTTTCAACTTCGGACAGCGTACACGCCGCCCAAAACGACATTCAATCCCGTTGACAGAAAAAAAAACTAAATTTGAACTTGTAGGTGTGTTAATAGAACCATCTCAAAATTGAAATGTCACTTTTTTCATCAATTACTCGTGGGACGATTGATTTTGTAGGAGTTTTACTCCATGCACAACAGTAAATGATACATGCGTCTCTTCGTTAAAGTATTCACCACAGCATAGCATTCTCCGATTTTCAATATTTTGATCAATTGAATTAGAAAATTTCGATTTAGAAATGTACATACCTTTCGAAGCGGTGACAATTACTCCACTCAAGCATAACCGGAAAATCCTCTCACGGTTTTCATTGCAGAACCGATTGTTCTGCGTGTGTAGATTACCAGCCGTGCAAGTTGCTTTCTTTAAAAAAAAGAAATGCAATCGTAAACCCAAATGCTTGTTTGGCATTAAATATTAGATAATTGTTTTTTTTTAGATAAGAGTTAGTTTCTAGGCTTATGTTCAAATACAAATGTGAAGAAATTCAATCAATTAATGATTATTTGTGCTTGAAAAAAAAAAAAGAAATGCAATACGTGAAACTTAATAGCTGTTTTTATTGGAATTTGAGATATGTTCATGGTTATCTGAACAATGGCTTGATATTGTTCATTATTAAGATCCTTACACCTGCTCTGCAAGGTTTTTGTGATGCTTAGGGTAGTAAGCATTGGCAATTTGAAGTTGTGTGCTTTGTGCTCTTAAAAGTTTTAGATGACAAACCTCTTTTGTTAAAAACAAAAACTTTTTAAAACCTTTAACTCGATTTGAAGATATTTTTTTAATGTCCCTTTTTATTTTGATGTTTTCTTATATTTTAAATTGTGGGTCATGAAAAAAAAGCCTGCAAGTTTAATTGTAAATATATATAATTTGAATTGCACTGTATTCTCTTCACCTTGATGACCAAAACCAGTTCATTAAGAAAGCTATTTACAGCCTAGACAAAACAGCTTACACCTTGTACTTATAAATAAACAAACTAAATTGAAAACAACAAAACAACTAACATAATCAAACCTGAAATTATCACTGAATACCAATTTCTAAACATTAGTTTGTTTAAAGGCCACATTTATGAACTGTTGTAAGGTGTTCCTTTTTTTATTTGAACACGTTTTTTCATTAACTTTTAAAAGTTGCTAATCCGAAATTTTTGGTGTGTTTGCAATTCATAATTCTAATAAAAAAAATTTAGTATTTATATTGTCTTTCTTTTTTTTCCAAATTAAATTACTAAAAAATCATTTGAATAGGCTATTGTCTCATTCGTAAAGTCTACATCTCACTCCACCTGCATGGACTTTCAATGTAGCCATTATGTCAACATATGGTAACAACAGGCGTCGCTCTATATAATTAAGATTCTCTCAGTATCAATTATAAATAATTTTATACTCACTTACTGTCTTGTAATCTAATTAATTAGTACAACAACCGATTTGTTTTTGCAACGCAACTTTAACATCACAAAGAAACACTTACAACCCACACACCGTAGCTGTTATATAAGAAATCAGAGAAAGTTTAGTTTACACAGTTATGAGAACAGTTGACCAGGAGCTTTTAATTAATTAGATAACGCGTTTACATCGGTACATTATCACAATGGTCACACAAAGCTCTGCTACTTGTGGTCAAAATTATAAAAATATAACATAAATTAAACAAACTTCAAAATTTCCTAAAATCTATTTTACATGCATAAAACTTAAGTATCAATTATCCTGTCGTCTTTCAAAATCTCCTTGCACTATTTTACATTTTCGTATTTAATATATTAAATCCGAAAATTCACCATCTGATCGTTTTCAAGAAATAATAATTATTTTTTTTTTATTTTGACGAACATTTTGAAGAGCCTTAATTACTACAGGTTAGATAATCTGTTCCCTGGCCCAGATAACTATAAATAGAAATTATTTTTTCTTATCTCTGCCTGCATCTGTCATCACTCGATGTCTATAAATAGACATTTGATATCTTATCGCTGACCCTGTTAAGTCTGCTGTAATTGCATGCATGATTTATTTTTAGGTTATCGATCGTAATTCAAGCGGCACATTTAATTCGTTATTTCATTGCTTGAAGTATTATTTCTTTCATCTGATGTATTTTTTTTTAAATATACTTTAGATTTAGATTTCAGTTTTAGTTTTTTTCTTCATATTCAATATCTATTTATTCACATTCTAATAACGAAAAAGGATCCAGATATACCTATAACAATCTGATTTGTTATTTTAATCAAGGAGGTTATATGACCTCCTTGTTTTTTAAAAAGGAAATAATGTTGCAATATTTAAACAAATAAAATAACTGTATTTCAATTTGCAATGTACTTTCATAATTAATTTAAACGTTATTTTTAATAAACGATATTTTTTTCGAAAAATCCTCGTTTTTTACAACCATTCAAGGACGTATAATAGATTATATACGTCCTTGGTCTGTTCTAGACGTAAAACTTTAATAAAGTGCAAGAAAGACTTTTAATTTCAGTATAAAAAAAAATGAATTAGCCTGCTTTGTACACCAAGTGCATCTTCCCTAGACTCAAAATCTTAAATGAAATGCTAGTAATACTTCTTTTATAGATTTTAGTTTTAACGATTCTCGTTCCGAATATAAATCGCATTGTTTACATGAAATCTTATCTCATATCTAAACACAGCTGGTTTCAACGTTCGACTCTAATTAAAATAAGTACGCATATATGTAGGTAAATATTAGCAGCTTGTAATTGCGTGCAAGGAAGTATTCAAATGCTTATTAAAGTAGCTTGCATCATAATAAATTTCGCATCATATGTAACATATCTCTATTGCAACTTTAAGATGCTAATGCTTATTCAACAGGTCAATTAATAAGCTATTGCGCATGTATATGAAAGGTGGTCATAGAAAGAACAGATGTATTTCGAATAACATCCGGTGTTCCGAAAGACTACGGACATCGTCCAATATATACTCCGTAAACCCTCAGGGGTTTACGCAATGAGATACACTTTGTGACTGAATGTCCACTATATTTTGATAACAGAAATGAGTTTTTTACTGAAATTTCTTTAACTTGTAATAATTTTTAATCTTTAGACAATTTTTCAAAGTTTTCATGGCTATTTACACAAGAAAATTTAAAAATGTATAAATGTTTGGGAAAGTATTTATCTAAAAATCTTGAGAGAAGGAGAAGTTCAAAGATAATAAATGCAAATTAGCCACAAATACACATATTTTGAGTGGTATATGATTTTGAATGGTATATTTCAAAGATGTGAATTGTATTATTTGGTTCTGTCCTGGCCTTTTATAGCATTTTTTAATAGTATTAAACGATGTTGTTTTCTTATATGTCTCTAATTTATTTCTAATCTTATGTACTTGTGATGAAAGCTCTTTATAGGGCCCTTTAATTGGAAATAAAATATTCTTATTCTTATTCCCTGATACATACTTCAATGAGTGCATGCATCTCATATATCCCGTTAAACAAACGTACCAGTGAGATAAGCGATATTACTGAAACTAGAAGATCTGCTTCATATCTTTGTCTTCTCGCTATTGGACGGGTGTCACATGTGGAACAGGATCTGCTTACCCTTCCGGAGCACCTGAGATCACCATGAGATCACCTCCGATTTTTGATGGCTGGCGTTTGTGTTCCTCAGTCTTTAGTTTTTCTATGTTGTGTTTTGTCTACTGTTGGTTTTTTTGTTTTGGTCTTTTTCGCTTTTTTGCCATGGCGATTATTTTCGACTTATGAGTTTGAATGTCCCTTTGACGACATCTTTTGCCTCCCTTTGACAAAGATGGACGACTTAAAAGTAGAATCTATGTCAAACGTCATGATTTCAACTTTCCAATTATCAACTTTCCATTTATTTACAGTAATATACCCTCTGCTCTGTCGTATGGCGTTTACATATCTTAGTTGATACGTCACGGTCGTACATGTTCATGCTATAGACAAACTTCATTAACAGGGGTGTGCTACTAAAAAAAACCGAATCCAACAGAGTTATGTATAAGGAAGAAAGATTGAAATCGACACTAAATGAGTTTTATGGTTACCATCATGAATTGGTTGACCGATACAATGTGTCTGTATCTCAACTCATCAGCAACATTTTTCGCGGTCTAAGATCTTTATATACCCGATTGTGACATTTTGACTGAATGGATTTGCATGGCGGGTGATACATGCACAGTAGGAGACGCTAAAAATTTCGAAGTACCCGATCTTGCTCCTTTCGGAGTGTGATTTCCTCAGGTTTTTTTTTTGTTATCTTTGTTTCTTCCTAATCGAATTATGCGATCGGAATATCGGTAAACTACTGTCCCCTTCATTTACTCAATTACTCAAGACTACATATTGAAACTCAACAATACTTAACAATACGAAAGATTTTATATTGACATAATAACATTAACTGTACCAATTTTACTAACTAATTTAATATTTTGCGCAATTTTTGCTGGAATACTGTGTACAAACACTATCACTGGTAACCTCAGTGTATCCGTTAACCTTGTCCAGTCCGGATCCTAAAATAAAGATAGAAAATCATTCTTTGATACCATAACTCCTTATTCACGATGACCTGTTGAGACATTCAAATTTTTAATTGTATGAAACTACAATTTAACCTTATAACAATATATTGGATACAAATCAGAATATAAAGCTCTAATACTGACATTTCCTTTCCACACACAAATTAGTTTTCCCCTATACATTTTTACATCTTTTTACCTAACAGGAGCATATTTCATACAATTAAAAATACTTTCTCTATATTCGACATAGCAAGGTTTTTTTTCTGCATTTTCTGACAACTGTCATACAAGAAGGAGGTTTAGCTGGCTATAAAACTAGATTTAACCCACCGTTTCCTTTGGGAAATGCATGTACCAAGTTAGGAATATGACAGTTGTTTTCACTCGTTCTGTTGGCTGATAACGGTTGATTTTGTCAGTGTTTATGGACTTCCCCTTTTCGAAATTACCTAGGAGTTCTGTATTTTTGTAATACTTTTTTCTTACGTGTGTAATTAATGAAATTCAAGCCTTGGTGTCCGTTCGATTTTACATTAAGATATTGACATACCTGTGATCAGGTTGTTGAGGTTACAATAGTTTGTGCTATGGTCAAGGTGGGCATACCATGTTTCTGAGGTGGAGTAACCCTACAAATTAAAACAGTTGTTTAAATAAATAGATCTATGTAAACAAGTTAAGGTACAACAAGAGACCTTATGAAAGGAAGAATGAAAACCTAATAAGTCACATCATGTGTTTATATGTTTACGTTTATAAATAGATGTACGAATATCCTTTCCAATTAAAACGGCATTACCTGGCAATCCATCAAATTCACTCAAAGACTCAAATATGATTAATAACATTCTAAAATAGATATCAGAATTACTCAAACTTCATAGAACCTATAAACAATGCTTGAAATCGTTATAAAGTAACAACATTTCATGAGTGTTTGTCTTTTGGTCTTTTTCTTTTTTGGCATGGCGTTGTCATTTTGATTTATGAGTTTGAATGTCGCTTTTGTATCTTTTGCCTCTCTTTTAGGACTGGAGACTATCAAATTAACAATCGACATGACCTCAAGAGATTTACGAAGGGTATGCGACCTCGATATATATAAAGATTCAAAAATATAATTAAGATATATAAGATATTTACATGCAACATTTTACTAAGAATTTTTGATTTCATATCATGATAAGAATTATGTAAATCATCGTTTTACATTTATAAGCATGATTAATTGGCGAGCCTTAACCGAAAAAAAAATCGGTACTTGCTGCCTTCCCTTGTTTCACCTTTACATCTGACATGCTTTTCATTATCTGAACATGCAAATCACATGCACAATCGATCTCCAATTGGTCATATCATAAGGCGCATACATACTGATACATATTAGTGGAAGGACATTTTGAACCATTGAAAAAGCACTTACTTTAATGTGTAGTTGTAGTAACAAACACAAGTTAGCGTTAGAAAATAAATTTGTGTCTTAGAATTTCTTGTATGTACAACAAAGGTAGAATTTTTTGTAAAATACTGAAAAGGACCGTTTATAACAGATATCATCGGCACTAGATGCATGTCCAAAGCCTTGTTTCCTCGTTACTCGTTGTGCTTCCTGTAACGTGAACGTTGCCATTTTGTTTACTTACGTCTTGTTAAGGAATATATTGTATTATTTCATTTGTGTGTCTCTTGAACTTACCCTAACATTGCACATACTGTTACTTGCTGTCAATGTGAAGGTCAAATCATCAAGGTAATGCTTAACTGGTGTCTCGTGTTTTGCTATAATAGTTGTACTTGTTTCACTCACAAACTAAAATATCAAACGAGTTTATGATATGTATACAGTATATACACGTACTATTATGAAGATACACCATTGTACATGTTGTATATGAACATCTATAAATCTTATAACTTAAATAAAAAATGTCTATAATGAAAATGCTTTTATTTATTTCATAGACTAAAACGAATAGTTTATTCACATCATTTTCAAAATAACCATGATATGTAAATGGCCGCGCTTATTTAAGAGGCTTCGACCTGCCAAGTTGTTATTTGACCAAAAACTTTAACTGTTTACTGAATATCGACTTTTAAATGAACTTTGACATAGTTTCAAGTTGCAGTTTATCTCAATCGTTCAAACTTAGCAACCAGTGAACAGTTTGAGTCTAGATATATACCTTTTAATCACCTATACTTATGTACTGTCGTGAAATTTGGGGCGTTTACTCATCCTTAAGGGACTCTGAAACCCTTTTAAAATTACTCATTACATTTAATTGAAAAAAAAGCACATGGTGTACATAGCAAGGCTTCAAATGATGCATATCGTGCCGAGCTTGGCCAAATTCCACTAAAAAGTAAGATTGTATTTTCAAGCATTATTTTTTTGGAACATATACTTTCATCAGAAAATACATTCATATCAGATTTACTGTTCTAAAAGGTTTTCAAACCCCATGGTTAACAAAACTAAAAATATTTTACAAAATTTAGGATATTCTTATTTTGTGGATAATAATTTGTTAACAAAACAGCACTTAAGTCAAATAAAACTAAGCATTTATGATCAGTGCTTGCAAAATGAAAATGCAAACATACATGAATCTTCTAAACTTAGTTTCTTTTATAAATAAGTTGTCATGTGTTGATTTGTTAAACAATTCATATAATAGAGAAGTAATATGTTAAATACGCATAGGTGCAAATACTTTAATGATTGAAAGGGGAAGACATCTTATTATTCCAAGAAATGAAAGGTTCTGTCCTATCTATAATAACTGGTAAATTGAAGAAAAACTTTTCTTTCTACAATGTAATGATTTGACTCAATTCGAGAAATATTAGAAAATAAAATCGATGTTAAATTAGAAATACAACGTAACATAAACATTGTTGAAGACATATCTCAATTGGTGAACAGACAATATTACTTAAACTGTCTTCCTCTTTTATATCAGAGTGTTTAAATATAAGGAATATGATATGTTAGTATGTAACTTTTCATTCTATCATGGCATATTAATAAATTAAAATGTTAACAAAAATGTGAATTGTTCGAAGTTATGAGGATTTTCTACCCCAAGAATAGATTACCATAGCTCTATTTGGCAAAATCTTTCGGAATAATTGGTCCTAAATGATCTTCAACTTCGTACTTTATTTGGTCGTTTTAACCGTGATGATTCGAGTTTCACTTTTGAGTCGGTTGTAGACGAAACGCCCGTCTGGCGTACAAAATTATAAGCCTGGTATCTTTGATGAGTTTATCAATATCATTATGTATGCAATAAGTAGGTAACAAATGTTTGTGTCAAGATATACGGATTAAACACATTTTTCTAAAGCTGTGTAATAAAGTACAAAAAAAAACCCGAACTACAAGGCAAATTCAAAAAGGCGAAATCCGTCCAAAAAAAATTGAGCCGTTGACTTACAAACTTTACATACAATCCTTTTATTCAGTTTGTGAGTGCAACAGCCCAGTTTGCACATCATTCTTTTCAGTACAATCGGTACATAATGTCATTGCATACTCTTGATGAATTATAAAGCAAATAGTAAATATACCAGAGCTAAAGAGGTTTATTGTATTTAAATTATTTTAATTTACTACAAAATACTGACGATAACTGTATAAAAGATACCTAATGGGTTAAATTGCAATTCATTAAGTATATGAACTCCTTGCAGTAACATTTTACTTGTCTTTTATTGATGAATTCCAAATACTCAAAATACGTACCGAATACAGACATTTTTCTCCTGCTCCATTTGGACAGTTATCTGCTGTAGACCAGGTAGATATCTGGCTCTTGATTTTTTCTTTTACCATATCACAGCTGATTCCAAATGTCCTAGCAAAATTCAAAATATAAACTGTTTTCATGATTTAATTAGGTAGTGTCTGTCCGAGAGAACGAAGAACATCATATTGAATGGTATTCTGAATTATTAACAAACGTCTAACAATAGTTTCCGTCTTAAATATGGTATTCTTTAAAACAAACTATTTTGATTGAAGGGCAATTTGAATATTTGGAACAATTCGGAATAGTTTCAAGCTAGGTCTGTTAGAATTAATCTTAGAATCTAAATTTTGCATTGCATTTTAATTCGAAATCATTTGTAAAGTACTATATAATCCAAATATAAGACCCACTCATCAAACATACTTTTGAAATCTTAACCATTTTAAATCTATGTTCGGGTAAAATACAAGTTATACATTAATCTTTATATGATAAAGGGATATTTTGAATCTTTTTTAACATCGTTAAAGTACTGTCGTCTTAACCAGTATGTTGAACATCAATGTAAAGTGGATAAAATATAAAAGAGAAACCAAGGGGCAATTGAAAATCATTAGTCTAATTTAAACAGAAAACACCATGGGACAATTTAAAATCGACGAAAAGGCAAACAACAACAAAGCATTTCACAAAAAACTTAAGTTTTAAGCATCACGAACCCCACAAAAAACCGGGGATGATATCAGGTGCTCCTTGAGAGTAAACAGTTCCTGCTCTAAAAGACACTCGACGTATTGCTCATGCAAGTTAAAACCCGGTGATAAGTCGCATTTGGTAATGTCCCAATCGATATGAAATATACGGTATTGTGGTTACGATAATTGGATATATATATGGTCATCAGCGACACAGACATCCCACAACGGTCAATCAAATAAGGATGGTGTCCGTAAAAGTTTGGAAATGATCACTTCAACTTTAAATCCCTTTCTGTCAAGGAAATAATGATGGGAAACACAAGTCCTTAAATATAGTATCAATAGGGAGAAGTATACTACATATGCTGGAATGTTGCTACGCATAAATTGAAACTTCGTCTTGAGAAATTTAAATCATCTCTTTTGTCATGAAGTTTAATTCTCAACCGACCCTCAAAGTCAATTTCTAGATGTAACTGAAAATACGAAACAGGCTTAACTGTATCTAAGGTATCATTTATTTCAACTTAAGTGGGAAAGATGCAGTCAACATGGTCACCAAACTTTTAATTATTCAGTGAAAGGTCATCATCTGTATAGCGGAAAGTGACGCTAAATGATAATGCCAGCTTCTTTTTATTTTTCTTGAAAAGATCCTGTATGAAGTCTGTCTGATATTAAGAATAAATGAACAAATCGACAAAACGATGAGAACAATTAGTTCCTATATGAATGCCAATTTTCTGTTGAAAACACGTCCTCCAAACGTAACAAATATGTGTTTTGATGATGTCAGTTTCAGTGAACTTTTAGTTGACAACTTTCTCAAAAAGACCCAACTGACAGAAAAATGATCAGCTATGAAATTTGCCCCTTTTTGTTATTTCTTTATCGCTTTTGTCGTAACCACAATCCCTTCCCCCTTTCCCCGAATGTGATTTACCGAATTAGACTTATTACCGGGTTTGTACTAGCATGAGCAACACGACGGGTGCCACATGTGGAGCAGGATCCGCTTACCCTTCCGGAGCACATGAGATCACCCCCGATTTTTGGTGGGGTTTGTGTTGCTCATTTTTTAATTTTCTATGTTGTGTTTTGTGTACTGTTGTTTGTCTGTTTGTCTTTTTCTTTTTAAGCCATGGCGTTGTCAGTTTATTTTTGACTTATGAGTTTGAATGTCCCTTTGGTATCTTTCGCCTCTCTTTGTCATTTCATCTACTTGTGTTTAATTGCCAAATGAAAACTAAGTTTCTCTCGGTAAATGTAGTAATACAAAAACAATCTTTTGAAAAAGTCCCATTTGATCTATTTGCCAGCAATGAGTTCATCAGAAAAAGTTTGGTCCTTCAAACACTTTCATTAAAAGATTACTTTTTTGTCTTTACGACTGAATTTTCATGAGGAATGTGTATCGTTGTCAGATGATGTGTCTAAACATTTAAAAAAAACGTGAAGTGCTGTGCAAGCTATATGTATTTTTTTGGGGGTTAAACTGTGATTACGTTTATAAAACAATATACTTGTAATCCGACGACCTTCTAAGATAAGAAAAAAAAATGTTCCGAGACACGAGACCTATTTTTTGGTATATATCTTTGTGCTCGTTTTATACCTGCTGTTTTTGTTATCTCTCGATTTACTAAATGCGAACTAAAACTGTAGATCATAGTTCCATCGATCAGAAATCATAGACAGTTCTTCTATGATACTACATGTGTGTAAAAATGTTTTAAGGGGAGGTGGGGGGTGGGGTGCTAAAGTGTGATTACGTTTATAAGACAACATACTTGTAATCCGACAACCTTGTAAGATAAGAAATAACGTGCTGAGATACGAGACCTCATTTGGGCTCGTTTTTATATCTTTTGTATTTTTAATTTTAATTTCAATGCGAGCTAAAACTGTAGATCATGTAGATCACTGTTAAAAAAACCAACTGTAGATCATAGTTCCATCTATCAGAAATCATAGTCAATTCTTTTTAATACCATTAAAGGTACTGTACCATATTAAAAGATAGATTAAATGATTAGATTCCTGTCTTTACGACTTTACAAGAGGAATGTGTAAGATAAGCAAATATACTTATAAAGTAACGATATCATAAAAAGAACTGCAAACAATTTAACAAGTCATATTGTGTTCGTTGTCAGGTGTGTCTAAACATCTAAAAAAATGTAACGATACTACTTGTAAGTGCTGTGTAAGCTGTAAAAATGTAGTTTTTTTTTGGGGGGGGGGGGTAAATGTAATTATGTTTATAAGACAAGATACTGTAATCCGACGACCTTGCAAGATAAGAAACAAAGTGCTGAGACACAAGAACTTTGGAGAGTAAAACTTCATAAAAACGTTGAAACCCTGAGTATGACTAATATGTTCGAACAATATAGACCTTATCCTGTTTAGAAATATGCAACAGATACTTGACCTGAGAATTTGCGGCAAATGACCTGAGAGTTTTCGACACTTGACCTATGGACTGAGTTTAGAACGACAAAATTTTATCATAAATCATTAAAATCAAGACTTAACATCAACAAATAAGAGACGCAATAAAATCTTCAAAATATGTAATAAACTTCATCAAAGATACCAGGTTTATATTTAGTTACGCCAGACGCGTGTTTGTCTTCATACGTAATATCAGTGGCTCCCGAATCAAAACAGTTGAAGTACCAAATCATAAGTTAACCTTTGCCCTTGCTCGACGTTTTCTTTATTGATAAAATGCACTTACGATAACATGGATAAGGCAGTTTGGAAAATTTACAGACGAAAACTGGAAAACACTTACAAGATGTAATTGCCTAAGTATTTTTCTTGTGTTTAATTTGTTTTCTTTCTTTTTTTGGCAATTATATCATTATGTATGTATTACTTTTTCCAGTCTTCAAATCGACTTATGAGTTTTGAATATTACGAACAGGTAAATCTGTATAAATCAGACATAAAAATTGCATTTTGATTTCATATTAGCTTTTTGATTATAAGCGATATTTTCCAAAAACATGTTGAATGATGTACATTTTAACCCCGCCACATTCTGTATATGCCTGTTCCAAGTCAGGAGCCTGTAATTCAGTGGTTGTTTATTTCTGTGGATCATATTTGTTTTTCGTTCATTATTTTGTACATAAATTAGGCCGTTAGTTTTCTCGTTTAAATTGTATTACATTTGACATTTCGGAGTCTTTTAATTGTTGATGGCCGTACGCTGACCATTAGTTGTTAATTTCTGTGTCATTTGGTCTCTTGTGGAGAGTTGTCTCATTGGCAATTATACCACATCTTCTTTATTTTTATATGTATGTGTGTGATATATGTGATTTTATTACCGGACGAACGATATCATTGGCCAGGATCGTAAGGAAATATTGCATGTTGACCTCTTTTAGTTTTTTGATTATTCTGGTCGGTGAGTTGCTGTCTCGCTGACGTATATTCTTAATTTCATTTTATTGATAACAAAATATCTGTTTATGGAAAAAAGGATGTTACTTTAAAAAGATATAAAGTAAAATATATGTTGAAAAAATGTATACTTACCATTGAATTTTACAGGACGCATGGATGGGATAGGCAATTGAACATCCAGCAAAGATAACAACAAGAGCTACTGAAATATAACTATTCATATTGCTTGTTCTTCTATGAGGGATCCTTCAGAAAGAAAGTCTGATTTCTCCGCCAAGTAAATATATGTGGATTTGGCCACACAAATCAGTGACCCTACATGATAAGAAACAACGTGACTTGACATGAGGACATGAAATGTTTCACATGTTGATCAAAATTTGGCAATCTTAGTATGCTTGATCTTTTGATAAAAATCCTATCTAGCGATAGATCTGATACCCGCAGCTGATTAGCTTAGAATAGTGATCATCCAAGGAAAATAGTAGAAACTATCTTTTATTTATCAAAATTGTGTTAAACAACTTAAATACATTCATATTTGTGTGATATATGTCAATTCAAAATGGCTTTCAGAGGTCAACTTTTGTTAAGTCAGATAACATTTTTTGAATCAGTAAATAGGAAATTGCGCCAAAACGACATTGTAGAATGTATTGTCAACAGTTTACTTCTCTCAATGAGGCTACATATCTATATAACCTCATTACTTCTCTTAATTCAGCACATACAGTGACAAAAGATACAGCCAACCGCCTTTTTCATTTTCGGAAAGATATCAATTTTGTTATTTTATTGTTCAACTAAATGGCAAAAATTAAGGATTATGTTTGAATGCAAAAATTTCTCTGCAAATAATAACTCTAAAAATAATTTCTCCGCAAAGTATTAGGAGTATTGCACATGTTTTCAAATAACTGTCAAATACAACTGTAAACCAATGTCCATTCAATACACAATACAAAAAATCAAGGATAGAAAGGCATCCTCTTTTCAAAAAGTAGAATGTTAACATAGTATGAAGAGAATTCGAGAAGTCGTATGGCACACAATCGTATGATGAATGTAGGCCTGATTGCAGAACTAAACAGGTAAATGTTGCGCATTTACAAAATGTTCTTGCACTTAATGCTAAACCGAAGTTTCACTCAAAAACAATCAAATCAAAGAAGGAAAAACTTCCATTCAAAAGTACGTGATATCATCGCGGGTTTGAAAGGACTTCCTATTACTTTAGTGTAAAGTGTAAGCTTCGTTTGTATTTACGACTATTCTTGTTTGTACAAACACTTGTTTCGTTGTTTTCGATTTGTCTCGTTCGTTTTTGATGTTTTCCTTTTCACACATATGGATTAGCATCGGTATCTTTAATGTATTAATTATTAGCCAACATTCACTTGCTCGTTCATTAATTCATGTACTCTAGAAAAAAATTGTCAAGACCATATAATTTGTAGTAGACATTCTTTTTTTGCTAGCACATTATAGAAAGTGACATAATTCAGGATCAAACTAATCTATATGTGGTTACAATATTTGCAATATATACACAATAGAACACAAGAAAACAGAATAGCCAAACACATCGAAGGAAAACTTTGCCAGGAGGAGTTTTGAGTCTTACATCTATGTACATTTCGGCTATAAATTTTATTGACTGGTTGTAGGTATTCCTATGGGCACCAATTGCGCCTCTTTAATATCAGACTCCTGTATTGTTACGAGTCACAATTCATGGGCAAACGCAGTAAAGATCCGTCTACATTACATTTAATTAATAAATTTCAAGGTATTTTTGCAAACAACGAAGAATTTTCTAATGATATGCGGAAAACAAACAGCAATAATTGTCCTCTTTTTGATTTGGATTAACTTCTACACGAGAAACGCGATACAAGAATTTAAGACAAATGATTTTTCGTTCCCCATTGTTAATTTTTCCTCTTTTTTTATGGACGGTGATTTTCCTCTGGCACCTTTTTACGGTGTGTCTATTTCACAGTTTGTTCGCCATTCCAGTGTGTGTAATGGTTGGGCTTTGTTCAGACTTGAAGGCCGAGCGTACTGATAATACAAACATTTATTCAGGTAAAGGCAATAAATACATATGCATATTAGATTTGAAAACAGCTAAATGGAACCTAAAGATATAGAAATTGATTGTACGTATGTTCATACTAGGTCCCATATAATTGCTTACACCCACGTCATTTGAACTACCAGGACATGAAGTGCATTAGCGTATTTCTTCTTGACACGTGTTTGTTATTCCGACGGAAATGAAACCCTAGGGCAATCGTGTCAGGGAATTTAAGTATATATCTTCCAAAAGAAAAGAGGACACTGCCAGAAAAGAGACAGAATCTGACGAAACAAGTTATACACCTGGTATCTTTTATGAGTTTACATACGTTATGAATCAAATCAGTGGCGAAGCACTGACTAGACAAATAACACCCATGGGGACTTTACTCTCCCAGCACGGTATCGATCCAGTGCTAGAACTTAATGTAACACTTTATAGATACATTTGATGTATAAAAGCGCTTTTCTGATTAACCTTCAACAGGAACGTTCAAAAACAAAATTTTGAGGAGCTAAATAACATAGAGATCAATTTTGAATGATAAGACTACAAAAATATACTATAGAAACTACTATAACAAAATCTACTAAAAAGAGTTCCATAATGCAAACGGATCAACTGGATATCTACTTATTCTATACTGTAAACTAGCTACCGACTGTTTTTACTTTTAATAGGAAATCCTCCTATTTTACTTTTGACTGGCTATCCACATATTTTACTGTTAATATGATATCCGCCTATTCTACTGTTAACTTCATATCAGCCTATTCTACTTTTAATCGAATACCCTAAATTCATACTTTTAACCGGATATTCGAAATTTATATTGTTAACCGGATATTCGCTTATTCTACTGTTAATTGGGCATCCTACTATTCTACGGTTGACTTGATATCCGCATATGCTACAGTTAATTGGGTATCCGACTATTCTACTTTAAGGTGGATATCTCCTATCCTATTGTTAACTCTATATGCTGTTTATAACTTGATTTCCGCGTATTTTAGGTGGTCGAATGGTCTTATTATTTCATCTAGTCTAGCGTGACGCTAAATACCAAAAACATTATCTGGATATCCGCCTATTATAGTGTAAAAAGTTAAATCACAAAAATACTGAACTCCGAGGAAAATTCAAAACGGAAAGTCCCTAATCAAATGGCAAAATCAAAAGCACAAACACATCAAACGAATGGACAACAACTGTCATATTCTTGACTTGGTACTAGATATTCGACTATTTGACTCTTAGGCGGATCCAGGGGGGTCAACTGGTTATTCGCTTATTTTACAGTAAGGTTAATATCCGCCTATTCTATTGTTAACTGGATATATTCGCCGATTATTCTGTTAACTGGGTAACCGTCTATAATACTGTCAACTGGTTATTCGCTTATTTTACAGTAAGGTTAATATCCGCCTTTTCTACTGTTAACTGGATACCCGTCTATTCTACTGTTAGCTAAAAATCCGTCTATGCTAAATATCCGTATATTTTAATGTTAAATGGATATCCGTCTATTATACTTTGCATATAAAGGCAAATAAAACTGTCTTATCTGTATCATATGCATGAACCACTGAAAAAAATGTATCTATGATGTCAAGGCATCTGGGAGTCAACCTGTTGTTTCCGGGCAAAATCCTTTGAACCTTTTAGATTATCTTAACCGAATTTGGCTAAATAATGCCAATTTGGAAGAGGAAGATTCCAAAGGTTAAAAATCACATCATCTTTTCCTAAACTACAACCTTGACAACAGTTTTGTTTCCAAATATTAACTTTTGACCTGTATTACCTGTATGTCCAACTATTTAGAAACATCGTTCAACAATGCTCTATGAGTGAGGACAACTCCGTCTGATTTTGAGGTCAACGGATCAAGGGTCAGTGTAACAGTACAGTTTCGGTTTCCACATGTTGTCTTTTAAATCATATGTTCAACTTTATCAGAGGAGTAGGCCCGATAAGACCCCTTTTTAGCCCCAAAATACAGAATTTTTACAATTTGTTTAAAATATAAAATTTTAGCTATTTATAAGAAAGTAGAATAAGTTAGTTACATAAATATGGGCTGGTTTTTTTTTTAGAATACTATGCACATTCATCAGGTACTAGCATCATTAATTCATGTATAATTCCTGAAATCTTCTTAGTATTTGTGCTAATTTTTAGACGTTTTTGTCTAAAATGGAAGTGGCCGCACTTGTGTTCAGTCTTAATATTTTTAAAGTACACGTTGTATTTGATAATAATACATAAAATATATAAAGATTCAGACTGAACACAAATGCGGCCACTTACATTTTAGACAAAAACCATCTGAAAAGTGACGTTTTATGGCATATTTGATAGATTTTTCATAGTGACGCTTGAATTTGAGCATCTTTAATGACCACATCAGTTCAAATCTTTTACATAACAGTAAACACGTAAAGAAGTTAGAATAGCTATTTTCTTTTTAAATTTAAGGTGTATAGAAGGTTCAATATACCATGGCAGGGGGGTCAAAATACCATGGCTAAGTAAAATTTTCCAATCATCTTTTTCCAGAATATTTTTACATACCAACTACTTATTGTAATATTATTATTACTATGTAAAGGAGTTAGAATTGCTTAATTTTTTTCAAATTAGAGGTGAATAACAGGGGGTTCAATATACCATGGCAAAGGGGGGGGGGGCAAAATACCATGGCTAAAAAAAATTTCCAAACATCTTTATAAGCATGTTTAATACATACCAACTACTTATTGGAAAATTCTAACTATGTGAATGAGTAAGAATAGCTATAATTCTTGAAATTGGAGGTGCATAGGAGGGGTGTAATATAGTTTTACTATGACAGTGGGATCAAAATACCATGGCGAAGTAAACTTTTCCAGACATCTTTATAAGCAGTTTAAAACATACCAACTACTTATTGGAATATATTTACTATAGCTATAATTCTTGAAATTGGCGGTGTATATTATGGGGTTCAATATACCATGGCAGGGGGGTCAAAATACCATGGCTAAGTAAAATTTTCCTAAAATCTTTATAAGCATGTTTAATACATACCTACTAATTATTGGAATATTTTTCCTATGTAAAGAAGTTAGAATAGCTATAATTCTTAAAATTGGAAGTGTAAAGGAGGGGGTTCAATATACCATGGCAGTTTGGGGGGGGGGGGGGGGGGAATCAAAGTATAATGGCTAAGTAAAATTTTCAAAACATCTTTTTAAGCATGTTTAATACATACCAACTTCTTATTGAAATATTTTTACTATGTAAAAGAGTAATACTAGCTATAATTTTTTGAATTGGAGGGGTTCAATTAGCATGGCAGGGGGGTCAAAATACCAGGGCTAAGTAAAATTTTCCAAACATCTTTATAAGCATGTTTAATACATACCAACTTCTTATTTCTTTTTATGTCAAGGAGTTAGAAAAGCTAAAGTTTTTGAAATTGGAAGTGTATAGGAGGGGGTTCAATATACCATTTTAAAATTTTCCAACAACTTTTCCAGCATATTTAATACATATCAACTAAATAACCTTATAAAGATGTTTGGAAAATTTTACTTAGCCATGGTATTTTGACCCCCCCTGCCATGGTATATTAAACCCCATACTATACACCTTCAATTTCAAGAATTATAGCTATTCTAACTCCTTTACATAGTAATAAAATGCTTCGCTGAGCGCAGCCTGATACGACCGCAGAGGTCGAACCCTGAACAGTTGGGACAAATTTGGACACAATATTCAAGCTTGATACTGTCTGAATTTGGATTGTGATCAAATTTTTGACATAATATAGGTTTCTGACACAAAATAAATGTGGTCAAAGATCTTATAAATCCATTGCGCAATACTGTGCAATTGAAGATTTCTTCTTGAAACTTTTCAAAAATTCTAAATTTTAAAAATTTTGAACTAGAAAAATGCTAGTTTTTGGCCCCTTTTTGGCCCTGAATTCCTAATCTGTTGGCCCCATAACCCCTAAAATGAATCCCAACCTTCTAATTGTGGTATTAAACATTGTGATACAATTTGAGAGCAATTGAAATACTTACACACAAGTTATTATCCTGAAACTAGAAAAATGCTTGTTTTGGGCCCCTAATTCCTAAACGGTTGGGACCATCATCCCCAAAATCAATCCCAACCTTCCTTTTGTTGTATTGAACCTTCTTAAAAAATTTCAAAGAGATCCATTCACTTAAACTAAATTTATTGTCCGGAAACCAATGTGTCTTCGGACGACGACGCAGACGACGACAACATCATACCATTGTACGATCCCAAAAAATTTTTTGCGGTCGTATAAAAATACTCCAATAAGTAGTTGGTATGTATTAAACATACTTATAAACATGTTGGAAAATTTTACTTAGCCATGGTATTTTGCACCCCCCCCCCCCACATTTTGCCATGGTATATTGAATCCCCTACTATACATCTCTCATTTTAAAAAAATAAAGCTATTCTAACTCCTTTACATAATTATAATATTCCAATAAGTAGTTGGTATGTATTAAACATGCTTATAAAGTTCTTTGGAAAATTTTACTTAGCCATGGTATTTTGAACCCCCTGCCATGGTATATTGAACCCCCTACTTTAAAACCTCTAATTTAAAAGAAATAAAGCTATTTGAACTTCTTTACATACATGTAGTTATAATACTCTAATAAGTAGTTGGTATGTATTAATCATGCTTATAAAGATGTTTAGAAAATTTTTCTTCGTCATGGTATTTTGACCCCCTGCCATGGTATATTGAACCCCCTACTATACACCTCTTATTTAAAAAAATGAATCTATTCTAACTCCTTTACAAAATAATAATACTCCAATAAATAGTTGGTATGTATTAAATATACTTATAAAGATGGTTGGACAATTTTACTTAGCCATGGTATAATCCCCTCCTATACACCTCTAATTTCGAAAATTATAGCTATTCTAACTCCTTTACATAGTAAAAATATTCCAATAAGTAGTTGGTATGTACTAAAAATGCTTATAAAGATGTTTGGAAAATTTTACTTAGCCATGGTATTTTGACCCCCCTGCCATGGTATATTGAACTTCCTCCTATACACCTCCAATTTCAAGAATTATATCTTTTCTAGCTCCTTTACATAGTAATAATACTTCAATTAGTAGTTGGTATGTATTAAACATGCTTATAAAGTTGTTTGAAAATTTTTTCTCAGTCATGGTATTTTGGCCCCCCTGCCATGGTATATTGAACCCCGACTATACACCTCCAATTTCAAAATAGTCATAGCCAACATATTGTACTATAGATAATCTGCAATACTATATAGCCAAAACAGGGGGGTTCAATTTTCCATGGTGGGGTTCAAAATACCATGCGGTATAATGACCCCGGGGTCAATTTTCCATATGGTATTTTGACCCCGGGTTCACTTTTCAGGGGGTTCAAAATACCATATGACACCGGGCCTACTCCTTTTAGGTCAAAATTAGCCCTTACCGGACTTTCTCGTTTGATTTCGCAATTCCGATGAAATGACAAACAACCCATTTAATTTTTATGTCATTAGGTCAAAGGTCAATGTTACATCAGGAATTGATTGACCCGAATCAGGGGAGATATGAATAAAATCTTTCCCAAAGTTTATTTGACTATGCATCTTTGGTCGAGAATGACCTCTTTCAAATATTTATAGTTATAAGGTCAAAGTAACAGCAGCAATAATAGATTATAAAATGACAATTTTTTTCGTTTCCTACCATTTCACCTAAATGTCAACAGACTTTACAGTCTTCATTGTACAACTCCACAAGATCACAACACGGCTTACGGACCCATGGTGCTTCCGTAGTTTATATCATTGTAGAACAATATGAAGTGAAACACCAATTTCGAATTCTAAAATGTTATACAAACTGCAAAAAGAGCTACAATGATTATTCTTTATGCAAAATCTTTTATTTTTTGCGTCTCTTTTAAGATGAAAACAACTTGGTCGGCTTTGTATGAAGTACAATATTGAATATTAAGTAAATATTGAAAACATATACAAGCAGATAATTTAATATTTTTCGCAATCTTTGCTGGAATACTGTGTACAAACATCATCACTAGTGACTTCCTTGTATGCGTTAACCTTGTCAAGTCCCGAACCTGAAAGAAAGATAGACATTCAATGTACGATAACGCCTTTCGAAATAATATCCAGAAAGACCAATGTTTAAACGTGTCAAGTTTTGCAAGTTTAGCTGCATGTAACCACTACTAGTTTTTCTTATGACCAAAATAAAATGTATACAGAATCAGAATATGAAATGCGTTGGTAAATACAGGAGTGTTTTAGGAAAATTTAGATGCGGCGTTTTGTACATAGAGTTGAAAATAGTATTTTCTGGAATATTGATACATAAAATAGAGAATGATTCAATCAAGTTATTTGTACTGATGAATTTGAACATGTTTTGTTAATTTGACCTATAAATACTTGTATACGTAATGCCTTTTTAATCATGTTTGTGTTTGTGTTTTTAAATATGGTTGTTATACCAGTGATTAGGTAATGCCATACCTGTGATAAGGTTGTTGAGATTACAATAGTTAGTACTGTAGTCAAGGTAAGCATACCACGTTTCTGATGTGGAGTAACCCTAAAAATTAAAGCATTAGATATTATTAATACGAATCTTACAGAACTACTTTTTTGAACAATTATAAAAATTAATATGAAGCAATAACATACTAAAAACATTAAAGCTACCATTTTACTGCTCCAGATACGCATTTCGACTATTAATGTCTCTTAAGTAATGCTCGAGGTCTAAATAGTCCGTATTAATAACACACAAAAAACAGAGCGAGAAATGCGATTCCAATCAAAAACTGGGGGTACACCCGTGTGATCTGGATGGCAAATCAGTGTCTGCTTAACTAGCAGCATCTGTCGCGTTGCGCATGACAAGTAAGCAATCGGTGATGCATGATAAACAAAAAAATATCTGTCTCGCGGTCAGTGTCACTCTTTACAGTTGCTGAAGACATTAACATTTACTCCTTTTATCTGGATTGTTAGTAACTGTTGGTTACAATCTGTCAACAGAAGTTAGTCTTTGGGGATTTTCAAGGACATTGCTGTATAAATAACTGCGTAAACTAAGAGTTGAGTGTATGGTTTGTATTCACTTTATTTGTAAAAGTATGACATGAAGAACTGAGGTCAGGTAAACCGTTGATTAAAAACATATCAATCGTTGATTCGGCTTAGAATAAGGGAAAGGTATATATATACTAGTACAGCAGGGTTTAAGAACATCCGTTGTTCGACCTGTTAGTCAAATGAGTTTTGTTAAAATATACTTTTTCACTTTTTTTTTGTCTTATGGAAAATGTTGTTTGTGCTGTATTTTGACCCCTCTTCCAAGAAATTCGTTTTGCATGCACACGTATAAAAATTGCGGTTTTTATCCAACGCAATCATAGGTTTGAACGTTGTTTTCAATTTAGACTTGTATTTACTAGTACATATATACTAGTATCCAACAAAAACACCAAACAGCAATAGGTTACCAGATCGCATAAAACTGACGATTCTGATTAGTGATGTTTCCCCCGCTTTCCAGAATTGTATTATTTGTCCATGAAAAAACACCAAATCTAATCAATTAAATGTTTTCATGTGACCATAGAATTTGTATATTGTATCTAAAAGTATAAAGGGATGTATATTGTATCTAAAATATATCCGAATAACCCTTGAACTTACCTTGACGTTGCACATGCTGTTACTTGGAGTAAAGGTGAAGGTCAAATCGTCCATGTAGTGCTTAACTGGTGTCGCATGTTTTGCTGTTATAGTTGTATTTGTTTCACTCACAAACTGAAACACCAATGCAATAAAAGCTGGTTATTTAAATCACAAGTATTATAATGAAGGTACCAGAATATTGCGAGGTAAGTCTACTAATCCTCTAACTTACAGCAAAAATGTCTATGATTCTTTAATTTGTTCAATCAATAGTCACAATCAAGTTACAACGTCTCTTTCAGACATAATATTACTATTACTACGCTAAATCAAGAGGCGTTACCGTCTTTATCCTTCCAGCTTGCTATTAAAATTACCAAACAGGTTTTTTTTTCACGATGCAATATTAATGATCGTTTATCCGCAGCAACTGGTAAACAGTTCCAGTCACTTGCAACCTTATACATAAATAAGTATAAAACAGATGCAAAAAAAACCATCTATTTCTACGATTAGATATTTGTTTCATAAGACAGGCATGAAAATATTAATTAGCTAAGGTATGGTTACTACTCCCTCGGGTAAAATTGGCTTCAAAAAGAATAAGCTGTTTTGGTCCTTTTTTTAATGCTTGATACATAAAATATTTTTTTCATAAAGTTTTGCGTGTGGATATTTTAGAAACACATGCCGTGCAAACGGAACCAATATCATTTATTTATATTAAATGAAGGTATTCATACTGAAAATTATGTTTGGTTAAAGCATTTAAATTTTAACCACAAAATACTGACGTTAAAATGTATAAAGCATATAATTAATCGGTTAAATTGCAATTCTTTAAGAAAATGAACTTCTTGCTGTAAAATTTTACTTGTCTATTATAAAGGAATTCCAAATACTCAAAATACGTACTGTATACAGACATTTTTCTCCTGCTCCATTGGGACAGTTATCTGCTGTAGTCCATGTAGAAATCTGGTTCTTGATTTTTTCCTTCACCATATCACAGCTGATTCCAAATGTCCTAGCAAAATTACAAATACAAATTGCATTTATAATTTAGTTATGTAGTTGATATTTCTGTCAGAGTAAACGTAAAATATAAAATGAATGATATGAATTTGAAAACATCCTTTAAAACGGCTTCTCTATGGTCGGGTTGTTGTCTCTTTGACACATTCCCCATTTCTATTCTCAATTTTATTTAATGAATTCAATCAATCATGAACAGATTTTTGTAAATATTGTTTTTATCGATACTAAGACGACAAAAAAACTTAATAGAGCTTATTTTTTTCTGTATATCACTATTCGTCTATAAATAAAGCTTCTGAAAACTTGAAACTTTACGGACGCCATCATGATTTTGTTGACCATTATGATTATCTATGTCACATATGACTATGAAGGTGGTTCAGTTTTCGTAGCCACAGCACTGTACTCTTCCTCCCATTAGTAATATTCAACTCATAAGTCGAAAAATAAACTGACAATACCATGACGAAAAAGGACGAAACGACAAACAACAGTAAAAAAAAAAAATAGAAAACTAAAGACTACAAAAAAACGTGGGTGATCTCAGGTGCCCCGGAATGGTTAGCAGATTCTGCTCCACATGAAGTACATGTATCAATCAGTACAATACAACGGATTTAGGAAAAGGACGACATAAAAGCATGATCATGTGCAATGCCAAAATATAAGTAAACAGTATCGACAGGATGTAGGATCATGATTACTCATAACTGTACATAAATAACAATTTATATTAAAGTATGTTTGAATTATCAAAAATATGTAAAATGAATATTTAAAGATTTCATTACGGTGTTAAGTTGATAACTTTGAAAAATAAGTATATTCAAAGTATCAATGAGTTTGTTGAAGCCTCACTGTGACTTTGAGATGAAGAACAGCAATAATTCCTATCAAACCGGTGCTTGGGACCGTTTTAAACATGCAGTGAGGTGAGAGTGTTTGCTCCGTGTTGAAGGCCTCACTGTGACTTTGAGATGAAGAACAGCAATAAAAGCGTTGTTCCTTTGCTTATTGTGTTTTTTGATGTGCATGTATGGATTTTGTGTCATGGATGGATATCCCATATCCTTTCTTATCTATTACATGCATGGGTCGTATCTACCGGCTTTGTTATCAAATTGAGATTTTTTTATAAGAATTCTACAAGTACAGCCAACTTCCTAACCGAATCTTTGTATCCATGGAAGAATTTAGTAAAGGTTTTAATTAATTTAAGGTAACGAAATCCCGGACTTAATAATTTACCAGTTATACATAAATTACGTTCATTGAAATCTCTCGGCTACAGACACGGTCGTAGCGTACAACTTGTGAAATATACACACCGTACGAAGGGGCCAAAGGAACATCACCGTCCAAAAAGGGAAAATTAACAATAGGGAACGAAAAAAAAAAACCGTCTCTTTTGTCGTAAATGCTTATATACTTGGAGACAATTTTACAGTTGGAAGACACAACCATTTCATTTAATTTCAACCCAATATCATTTATAAACTACTGAGTCAAACATAAGGAAATCCATCCGCACATCAACTGATTTGAAACTATGTTTATGGTACAATACAATATATAGTTGAACATCTATACATAAAGTTGGATCATGTTCAAGTTCACCATAAATCATTGAGTTGGGAGAGGAAGATTTCCAATGAAGAAGGGACTTACAAAATTTTAATGCACTTTTTTTTATAATATCACAATGTGAATAACATAATAATGATCCCCATACTTCTGATCCATATAAAAGAGCAGGTTTGACAATTCTATCAAAAAGAAACAATTGACAAGAAACTGATAAGGTAAGCAATTTTTCTTTTCTAGTATCTCATGCATCCCCTTTTCCCTTTTTCTTTCTGTTATTTAATTGCAGTATTAAACTTAACTTTGTTATCTTCTGCCTATTTTGTCGCTGTTAGAAATTTAATCCTAGTAATTAAAACATTAATTTATCGATATCAAGATTTAGTGCCACTTGAACTAGTTGCTTGCCAAAAACAGTGTGGTCTTCCAGAGCACTTCCGATGAAAGACTAGGTATGTGTTCCGTACGGTAGAATTTTCAAGATACATTTTGTATATGTGAAGGACAGGCAAGTGAACATCTAAACTAGAGCTTCCTTAAATCTGATTCGCTCACCTGTCAAAATTATGCCAAATTGAATATTTATTTATCTTTTTTTGCATTTAATTCTTTTTTTTTCAGATAAAAATAACTTATTTTCAAATAAACATCTTCTCGAGTGCATTTTATTTAAAATCAAGGTCAATAAACAATGGTTTTTCAGTACCAGGATCACAATAGTTTTGTTCGACTTCTTAGTCCTTTTTTGCAGTTTACTTTTTCTGTCTTTCTAATGTAGGTTCTGAGATCATACGCAAATACTATTATATAAATTACACATAGCTGAGAGCATGATATCAGGAACGCTCAAATCCCGAAATTTGAAAGCCAATGATGTATTAAAACTTGAATACTTACAGAGCTATATGACCAAACGGAACCTCAAGAGAATAGTCAAATCCACAAAGTTATACTTGCCTGAGGGAGTTTGAACCTTAGTTGAAATTTTTTTTTATTTCTAAATTTATCAACGAAACATTCAAGAAAAAATTATTATAAATCATATCTGTGTAGAAGGTAATAATTTAAGGGATTATTTCTATAAAGAATTGACCAGTTGTTCGTTTCAGCATATATCAGTTTTGTAGATCTTCTATTGCAACAGCGAATCATTGTTACTTACAGTTTCTATCTATATATTACACTTTTCAGGAAAATAAGCAAACATGTTAAAATTTGTGAAATATCCTCATTTATGGCAGTAACTCATTAACGAAGGCAAATGATGGTTTTGGTGATTATGGCATTTTTGTATATCTTGTAATGCTGACCATTTAACTGTTTACAATTTCTGACGATTTTTGATACTTTTCATGATAATCAGCAAACATGTTTTTGTGTATTTATAATTCTTTTCAAGATAAGCAAAGACAAGGACATTTGTCAAAAATAATCATTCACCAATAAATTTGGTGGAAATGAAAATAAGTTAGATCTTTTGACATTTTGAACATCTTTGTCTCTGTAAATTTTGTTTGATTAATATGAACGATAAACAAAAAAAACTTTATACTAGACATACTAAGGATTAGTTCTAGTTTGGTTTATATTGGTCCAGTGGTCTTTGACAAGTATTTATTAGAAGACAATTCGACCACGACGGACGGATGTCGGACGCACTGGTGATAGTAGTTCGCATGGCCTATAAGGCAAGGTAAGCTAAAATTGTATAACGTACGATATTACGACAAGAGCTCAGAATAAAACTAGCCATATAGTGTCTGTGGCAGTAAAAATAATTTTGATGACCTTGGTTGATAAGAAACAACGTGCCTAGACACGTGACCTATAAATGGGAGAACATATCTATGTGCTCATTTTATATCTGTAATATATGTAAAACTCTTGCCCTCAAACCCTACTATAAGATTCTGACAATAATTGGAAATTAAAGATGATACTCCTTGTAATTTTATATCATCGCGTGTAACCGCAAGCTATAGCCATGGTCAGAATTTAAAAAGAAGTAAACGTGGGCGGTATTAAAAAAATGTATGTATTAAGAACACGTTGAACTGCATCTGAATATTGCAGAATTCTAAAATATAAATGAATAGCTATATTTCAGTAGGGTAAATAATGAGAAATGAAATTCATTCCTTCTTCACGTATATCCCGTGTCTTCAAATATTCAATGAATATCAGTTTATCGAAATAAAATGGTTCTGTAAGAATTAATATAAAGAAAAGTATAAATAGTAAATATATACTTACCATTGAATTTTACAGGACGCATGGATTGGATAAGCAATTGAACACCCAGCAAAGACAACAACAAGAGCTATTGAAATAAAACTATTCATATTGCTTGTTCTTCTTAGAGACCCCACTTGTAATGGAAGTCCGTTTTCTTTGTCAAGGTTATATACGTATCTCATTTCAAACAGTGACCAAACATGGTGTAACAAACAACGTCACTGATATGAGACCTTGGAATGTTCAACATTTAGAAGAATATTTGGCATTCTAAGTACGTTTGAACTTACATTGATATACTTTTGGACACTAAGAATGATATCTGCAGCTTATTCGCTTAGAGTAACGACCATTCATTAATTGGAGATAGAAGTTGAAATTGTGTAATTTATCCCAAAAGATTATCATTTGGGGTATATATCACTTAGACAGCAACCCGACAACACAATATAAGATTTATTATAAATATAATCAAGTAGCTGATAGGCCCATTTCCCAAAATATGTAATGCATTTTCGTTTTTTTACGTTCTTTTTTAAGGGTGGTAGTAAAATGAGAAACGAAATAAAAACGCAATGAACAAAACGAAACGAAAAGTTTACAAAACAAAACAAAACGGAAAATTGACAAAACGAAACGAAACGAAAAATGGAATGATAAAACAAAACTAAACGAAATATATGACGTTTGAAAGACTTTCTACAAAAAGGTCTAAAAACATAAATGTGACTGACATTCTACAAAAAAGCAATGGCTAGCGGACAAACTATATATTAGGTCACACATATCTAACGAGTCTGTACTTTAAAACAAACAGATTATAAATATTTCCAGGTCAGATAAATAAGAGTACAAATCTCTTTATCTAAATATTCTTTATAACTACACCTTTTCTATCTCTTGCATTAAAAAGCACAACCGTAAGAATAAATCGCAGATATTTGGTGAAATTATTCCTTTAATTCTGGTATGAAAGACAAATATTTTTCTTGGAAATACAGATTGCATCGAGCAGAAACTGCCTTCTCTTCTAAATGCCCATTTTCCCGTGTCAGTTGAAATTCTACACAACCGAAGGATGGCTTTCAGCCCCGATATTCCGACACTCCGTTGGTCCGACACCCCATTAGTCCGACGCTTTAATAGTCGTCTGACACCCTTTGAATCCAACACCGAATAATTAGGCAATAGTCAATATATTTTTATATTAAAAAGTCTGATAAAGTTTATTTATCTGTAATTTTCTCTCTTTCTATAATGATATCTGCAAAAAATGGTAAAAACATAGATAAAAGTAATCTTTCAAGGACAATAACTCCTATAAGCGGTCAATGAACAATTTCGGTTAATTTGACATCATTTGAAGTTCTTATTTTGCTGAACACTTTTGTTTTTTACAATTTCTCTCTATCCATTACAGTTTCTGCCAAAAAAAGCCTCAAAAATGAGTAAAATTAGTCTTTCAATGGTAATAATTCCTGTACAAGGAGTTAATTGACAATTCGTCCATGTTGACTTATTTGCAGATCTGATTTTGCTGAACACTTTTGTTTTTTACAATTTTTACAATTTCTCTTTATCTATATATATATATATATTTATAAGTATAGTCTCTGCAAACAAGCATGCAGTTAAATTAGTCTTTCAAGGGCAATAACTCCTGTAAGGGGTCATGTCGTCCATGTTGACTTTTTTGTGGATTTTACAGTTCTGGTCATTCTTATCATTAAAAATTTCTCTCTTTCTGTTATAGTTTTAAAGATAATAAGCAGAAACTGCGAAATTTGCAAAATATATATTTTACGGGAAATAACTCCAAAATGGGTAGTTTCATTTTTCTGAAAATTTGGCACTCGAAATAAATACCTTGACCTGCTTGTCAATTCTACCTTGTAAGATTTACTCTAACTGCTTTAGTTTTTCTGAATCCAAAATCTGTATTTTACCCTTATGTTTTATTTTTTGCAACAGCGGCCATGTTTGTTGATGAATTAAATTCCCAGATACAGTTGTAAAATAAATACCCATAGGTACAACTATGTAAAGTTTTGTAACATTTGGCCTAGTAATTTCAGAGGAGCAGATTTATACTCTATGTGATCATGCCATATATATGAAACTCAGCAGAGACGTTTAAAAACCTTATAGGAAAATCTGCAATTCAGGCTCTATGAAAAAATCAATGAATGTCATTTGGAAATGTGCAATGGAAATATATCAAAAATATCATGATAATCTTCTCATTTAATAATAATTATTTGGCATTGGCTATAATTCATTAAATATTGTGGCATGCCATACATTGTCTCATTGGGTGATAATACTAATTAAGTCTGCGTCAAAAGTTAACTGCATGAGAAGACGAAAATCAACTAGAAATAGAATAAAGAAAAAGAAATGCTTTTAAATTGGTATTTGCTGATTATCCGCCAACAAAGTGACATTTATGAGTAAGAGCAAACTTAAGACTGGTCCCCACGGAGTCGGAAATACAATTTTGTACAAGTTGCAAGTGTATAATCCGACTCAGCATGTCTGTCAATATAAAGCAGGGTATCTTCGTATCATTATAATGTGTTATTGTTCTCAATATAAATGTATTATACAAAGTCTTGTTTTTGTTAGTTTGTACTTATGAAGCATTCTTGCGTCTCATCTTTCATTTTATTCATGTGCCAATGACAGGGACGTGGTGTAGCTTGCTAGAGTTAATTTTGCAGAGCGTGGTACGTGTATTGTTCAATCGATTAAACTTTCGACCGATAATCGATAATTTGGAAAGCAGAAAGGAAAGACCACAGAATAGTTATGTTTTACAAGAAGCAACAAAGAACGCGGAAGGGTTGGATGTTTTATAAATATGCAATAACAAATCGAATTGTTGATGTTAAGAGTACATTCCCGTGGCCATTCTTACAGATAAGATAAGACAATTTTATTGGTTCAAAATCCAAAACTATAGGATTGTTACCAAGACAATACAAAAACATACAAACAAAATCTGACCACATTTATAAACATTATATATATATAACTGTATATCCCCTCCATTATAAAAAGAAAATATTGTTACAGTAATAAATGAATGTATATAATCTCTGCTGAGGAGGTGGTACCACAAAGTTATTAAGAACTCAATAAAGCATTTCTAGAATTATACATGGTGCTTATGAATTTTACAATAATTTTAATTATATCAGTCTCACCACAGGTATACAAAAATTTAAATCTTGCTTCATTAGTCATATTTAAAAAAGAGGGAACTATTTCACTAATTTTGGAAAATAATTGTTCTCTAATTGTATTTAGTTTTGTACATATTATAGTGAAATGAAATTCATCTTCTACTTCTAAAAGACACAAGGGACAAATTCTTTCTTCTACAGGTGTTTTAGTGTGTCGTCCTTGTTCAATTTTAAGACTTACATGATTGATATATTTGTGTCTGCTTAATGTCCAGTGTAAATGCTTAATGAATATTAAATGCAAGTTCATTCTGACAGATAATGTCTTCGGAGTTCCAACCGTAATAAATAATAATAAAATTTATAATTTTGTTAGGATATTTCAATGAAACTTTTATTTTCGACTATAATATGTATCATTTTGTTAGATATCAGATGGGTGGGATGGTATTATGTGTTTCTTTAATACACTCATAACATAAGCAGTTCAAATACCACATCAACACCGATTCAAGGAAGCATAATTTCTATTTCGACAGTTATTAACCTTTGTCGCACTATAATGGTGTCGAACTATTGGGATGTCTGAAAATTGTGGTGTCATACCAATGGGGTGTCGGAATGTCGGAGCTGAAAATAATCAGTCAGTTGGGTTTGTGTTGATGTAATGTAAAGAAAGAAAGGGGTGATTATTTCAACTGACACAGGAAACAAAGGTGGAATGGTTGGTAATGACATGTAATTTTGAGTAAAAAAAAAATTGATAGTTGTAAAAAGGAATAACAATAATAACTATAACCTCTAGGTAAAATACCGAAGAAAAAATGAGATAAAACAACAGTCAACAAAAAATCAACAGAAAAATATGATTGAGCTAAAAAAACAAAGTCATAATTATGATACTTCAAATTAAAAAACTTGACTATGTTTTATGTTTATATACTTGAAGGCGAAGTTTTACTATAAAACACGTGTACATGGACTTTCTTTTAAAAGAAAATTCTTTACCTTACTAAAATCTTCAGAAATGTACTGCTATTGAATAATTGTCTTTTCGTACTACAATTCTATAATACCCCAATAATGCCAAAAATAAATTTTGGGATTCAACGGAAAATATTGAAAAGTGCAAATGATTACATAAAATTTAAAGGCAACAACGTTTGGTTAGCAACTTTTCTGAATACCGGATCGTTAATGAGTTTTCTGAATACCGGATCGTTAATGAGTTTTCTGAATACCGGATCGTTAATGAGTTTGATCCCTTGGGAGATGCTGATATAAAAATCGCTTACCATAAGTTGCTATTATTGACCTCAACAAATGCAAATATCAAATTTTTGAAAAATTAAAAAATTAAGATGTTTCGCACTGAAAATGTATATCCTATTTGGGCTATAATACCCCAAATAGCTTATTATGACCTATTTGGGAGATAGTCCAATACCTGATAAACAATCTCAAATATGGTCATGCCACCACTTCACTTCAATTTCTAAAACAAAATGATAAATGTTGTTCTGGTTTTTATATAAAAAAGTGACAAATTTAGAACATGTTAGAAGGGTCGCCTATGGAGGAAAAAATACTACCGCTTTCCGTTTACTGTGATATTCTACTGTTAATTAACTGTCTCTGCCAACCCTTTTTGTCCCTCGTTCTATTTATAAACTAAATAATAAACCACGCTCATAATCATGTGACAGTAAATACCTTATGTAACTATTGTTCGTTTCCGAGTACTATCAAGTGTACAATCATTGTCATGAGCAGTAAACCATACCGGAAGCTTGGAACTGATTATTCGCCTAAATCCTGCGGTTCATGTTGCAAGAATATACCTTTGTGTTGTAAAATAACGATGGTTGTCTTAACAGTTGTAGTTTTAGCCGGCCTAGGACTTTTTGTTGGATTCGCTGCCACAAATCCATTACATGCTTCATGCAGAGTAAATTGGTAAGATATATTTCTACTATAAATTGTTGTATAGTAATGACGACCTGTAACTTGTTTCTCTTTCAGTTTGATTTTTTTAAGAGTTTGATAACCATTTCAGAAGAAAAAAAGAGAGATAACTCGAATTCGTTTCGTTCAAAGAGGTTGCTGTAGGGATATTTCGTATCAAATAATTTATAAATATTCGAAGGACGAGTGAAAGTTGAAATATTATCTGTGAAGCAGGTTTCTGTGCAATTTTAAAGTTATTATCCTTACCGACTACTCCACTGTTTAGTGGGATTCGTGGTTGCTGAATCTCTAACGCACTATTTTGGGGGCTGCTCCTTGTTTTCGCAGATGACATTGTCTGTCTTCTTTCAACTCATAATTTTAGATTTCCAAGTTTCATATCTGATTGTACTGGAGTTTAAATGCTTGCGGTTCCAGAGTACTTGATTTGACTTCTGAATATGGGAGTTCCAATACTTTTCCAGAATTATATATATAGTTGTACACCTTGTTGCTTTTTAAATACTTCAAGGGTTATTCCAGAGGACACGATTTCACGGGAGTTTTTTAAAATCCTTTTGAGAGCACCTGGTTTCACAAGAGTTTGGATTCAAATTAATGAGTTATTGTTTTTTTTAGCATATGTACTTTGTTTTGATATACGAATGTTTGTGCATCTTTACTAGACGGGTTTCAGTTTTATGTTTTCTTTTATCCCTCGGGATTATCTATATATGACACTTTTATTTAAATGCTCTATTGTCCTGCTTATAAAACATACGCACATGGAATTGTTAAAATAATTTTTGACCCAACTTTGGGCCTAGTAAGCTTTTCTCATCACTTGGCGTCCGTCGTCTGTCGTCGTCTGTTAATTTTTCAAAAATCTTCTCTGAAACAACTCAGCCAAATTTAACCAATCTTGGCCACAATCATCATTAGGGTAATATTATCTAGTTTGATCAATGTGTCCGATGACCCAGCCTGTCAAACAAGAAGAAGAAAAGAAACTTCATGGCCAACATGGCTTAAGATAGAACATACGGTTAAAATGCAAGTTTTGTCTATTATCTTGAAACCACTATGAATAGAGAAGATCTGACATAAGCAAAAATGTTTAGAATGATGAGATCTACCTATTGTATGTTTACATCAAAACTGTCAGATGACTTCTTATAGAAGTTATTGCTCTTTTGCCTATTATCTTAAAAATTATGATAGATAAATAAATGATCAGTAAGATAATATCTATAAATAAGTCAACATCGAAATCGTCAGTCGACTCCTTATTTGAGTTCTTGCTTTTTAGTGACAATTTTTACCTTATTTTTTTGCGTTTTTAGATATCGTTTTTGCCTAGTATCTTGCAAACTAAAAAAGATAGATCAACACTTTATATAGCAAAAATTATCTACGAATATGTCAAATTTTGCAGAAATCGTTAGTAGACTTTTGATATGAGTGATTGCCGTGAAATGACGATTTTTAACCTTTTATAGGTTTTGGGCAAACACTAAAGATGATGGAGAGAAACTGTTAAAAGAAAAAAAATATCAGCAATATCAGATCAACAAAAGCAGATTTTTGTCATGAATTCTTGTCTAGTCCACAATGTTAGAGACTGTCTATTGTCGAAGATGCATATAGACCAATGTAAGCGACACGGGCTCTTTAGAGCCTCTGGTTTCTTTGTGTATAGTTTTTTACCTCTCACGCTGTTTATTTGTATCTTTTTTAGGATATTCCCCTCCATGACGTGTAATAATGTAAAAACAAAGCTGAGAAACCAAATATCACTATGGAATGGGCCGGACAATTGTAAGAACGGAGGCGAAAAATGTCTATACAAAGTAAGAACAATTGGGAAGTAGATACCAAGACTTAGAGGGCAGTCAAAATTTATGTAGAAAGACATAACCTCCATAAATGATATAATAGGCAACGCACTCCTTGAATATCGTATTATCTAATCTAGAAGACATGTAGGCAGATGCCGCTGGGATGTAGCTACTTAAAAATTGAAAATGAACAATGGGAAAGTTATAATCATTTTAATTTCTCAAACGATCCTCTCAATTTGTCATTTTCTAGATGTCAGTCTATATATAAAGCAGACTTATATATATCTATGATATCCTTTATTTCAAGATCAATAGACTTGTTGCATCAATGTAGTCTCCAAACTACAGAGACCATCTTAATATAGCGGATCGTGAAGTTGAAGTATAATTGTGTGAGACATTCATTACTATTTTACATGCTTTCTGCAGTCACTACATGAATATGAATATAACTTTGTCAATAAAGACTGGTAATGTGGGGCTTTTTATTTATAATATTTCGAGTCGAAATTTAAATAGTGTTACACTGATTTTAAAGGTTCACGGAGGTTAAAGGGTAGTGCATTGAATCAAACAAAAAATCTTGCCTCTTTTGATATGTTTTTAGCGTTTTAGAGACAATAATATTCTTAACTCATTTATATACTAAAAATTTTAAATGTAAATAGTGTGTATAAATATTGTTTCATTTTCAGCTCGTTAGTGAATCCACCAACACCTTAAAAGCCACACACGAAACTCCTAGCAAACATTATAAAGATGATCTGACTTTTACTTTTAGTGATGCAGGGATGAATTGCAAAACTGAGGTAATATTAGATGTTTACTTTTATATTTATTCAGTAATACAACAGGTTTTCAAAACAACATGTACGATTTGCAATAACATTAAACCGATGAATATTTTCAATAAATAAAAAAAGATTATCTTAATAAAGAGGAGCTTCTGTCTAACTATTTTTCATTATGTACTAGTTAAATACTTTTGGCTTGTCCTAACGTGTTTTCTATCCACTACAGGGTTACTCTACATCAGAAACTTGGTATGCAGTATTGGACTCTGGAACAAACTATTGTAATCTACACAACTTAATCACAGGTAAATATGTGCAAGAAGTAATCAAAGATTTACAGATTTGTAAATGGCTTGTATCAGACATGTAAATGAATTAAAACATTCGTGCGACCAAAGCGCTTTTCTAGATTTACTTCACCAGGATATCTTAAACCTAAACAACAATGTAAGACACAGATTTAAAATGAATGTAATATCAAAATAATTCAATATGAAAATATGAATAAAATTTTATGTGAAAGAATACTGAATGACAGCCGCGTATTTATATATAATACAACCTGCAATAAAACACGCTAGTCTTGTCATGACATGATCGGTGTAATGGACAACACTGTCAATTGGATATAAAATCTCATAGTCGATGACGTCGATTATTTAGAGGTGATTTCACTACCCGTTTGCTGTTATATAACTGGGCAGTAACTTTTTTATTGAACGAAAACAGCAAACTTAATCAATTTATAAATGTTTTCACACAGACAACCAATCTCTCACAAAGAAGTACTTTGATAAGAAGTGATACCAGGCACATAATTACTAATTAAAACAATTTTTAGAATACGAAGATACTGAAATAGAAGTGGTCGTACTGATGATACTTGGTTTTTAGCCTATTGCTTTATATTCTAGGTTCTGGATTAAGTAACACCACAGGTTATACAGAATCGACCAGTAATTCACAATGTACCCAGTACTCCAGTGCTGATTGTATGAAATACTGAACTTAGAGAAACATATGAACTCAGGATTAATATATATGATTAAATTTCATTGCTCAATAATTAAACATTTTTCCAAAAGAATTTAATCGTTACAACCTGTACATATTTTTTTTTTATACTTTTTATACGACCGCAAAAAAATTTTGTGGTCGTATATTGGTATGACGTTGGCGTCGTCGTCGTCGTCGTCGTCGTCGTCGTCCGGCGTCGTCGTCCGAATACATATTGGTTTTCGCACTCTAACTTTAGTTTAAATGAATGGATCTTTTTGAAATTTGACCATAAGGTTAAATACCACAAAAGGAAGGTTGGGATTGATTTTGGGGGTTATGGTACCAACAGTTAAGGAATTAGGGGCCAAAAAGGGGCCAAAAATGAGCATTTTCTAGTTTCCAGACAATAACTGTGGAACGGTGTATGGATCTCTCTGAAATTATACTACAAGTTTCCATACCACAAAGGGATGGTTAGGATTTGCTTTGGGGGGTTATGGCTCAAACCGTTTAGGAATTAGGGGCAAAAAAGGGGGAAAAACAAGGTTGTCCTGGTTAATGGACAAATACTTTAGTTCAAAACATAATTTAAAGCAGTGTAAGGGAGATAAATCAAATACATCATTGAAATTATCTCCCTTACACTGCTTTTAAATTATGTATAAAGTAATGGTTAATGAACAATAAAGATAATCTAAAACAGTGTAAGGGAGGTAATCCAAATACAACGTTTTGGTTACTTCCCTTACACTGCTTTTAAATTATGTTTAAAGAAATGCATATTTATAAAGGAAGACCAGTAAAAATATCTGCAAATGTTTTCATCTTTTTTTTTTACAAAAAAATCCATATGAAAGATTTGACACTATATTTTTATTAATTCTATTATAAAATAGATTAAGTTAGCACTATGGTAAATTTAAATGGGTAATTATGGTTGCCAACTCCATTGGAAATTTGAATTGAGATTATGACCATATCTTGAGGGAAAGAATTTTTTGGGGGGAAAAAGGGGGGGGGGGGGGGATAAAAAGAAATTGTGGGGGGCCAATTTTTTCTCATTTCAGATTTCAGAAATTAAAAAGAATTATTCTTCAAATATTTTTTTTTTTTCAAATTTCAAATATTGAAAAATTTCAAGAAGTAATCTTTAATTGCACAGTATGGCGCATTAGATTTGTAAAATCTTTGATCACATTTATTTATTTGTTATGCCGAATCTAACAGTGTATTTAGATTTTTAATTTTGGGTCCAGTTTTCAAATTGCATTAATGTCCAAAGGGTCCAAAATTAAACTTTGTTTGATTTTAGCAAAAATTGAATATATGAGGTTCTTTGATATGCTGAATCTAAACATGTATTTAGATTTTTTATTTTTGGCCCAGTTTTCAAGTTGGTCCAAATTGGGGTCCAAAATTAAACTTTGTTTGATTTCAACAAAAATTGAATATATGGGGTTCTTTGATATGCTGAATCTAACCATGTATTTAGATTTTTTATTTGTGGACCCCGTTATCTAATTGGTTCATATTGAGGTCAAAAGGGTCCAAAATTAAACTTTGTTTGATTTCATCTAAAATTGAATTATTGGGGTTCTTTGATATTCCAAATCTAACCGTGTATTTAGGTTTTTAATTTTGGGTCCTGTTTTTTAAATTGGTCTACATTGAGGTCCAAAGGGTCCAAAATTAAACTTAGTTTGATTTTAACAAAAATTGAATTCTTGGGGTTCTTTGATTTGCTGAATCTAAACATGTGTTTAGATTTTTGATTATGGGCCCAGTTTTCAAGTTGGTCCAAGATAGGGTCCAGTATTTAAACTTTGTTTGATTTCAACAAAAATTGAATATATGGGGTTCTTTGATATGCTGAATCTAAACATGTGTTTAGATTTTTGATTATGGGCCCAGTTTTCAAGTTGGTCCAAATTGGGGTCCAAAATTAAACTTTGTTTGATTTCAACAAAAATTGAATATATGAGGTTCTTTGATATGCTGAATCTAACCATGTATTTAGATTTTTTATTTGTAGGCCCCGCTATCAAATTGGTTCATATTGAGGTCAAAAGGGTCCAAAATTAAACTTTGTTTGATTTCATCGAAAATTGAATTATTGGGGTTCTTTGATATGCCAAATCTAACCGTGTTTTTAGATTTTTAATTTGGGTCCCGTTTTTTAAATTGGTCTTCATTGAGGTCCAAAGGGTCCAAAATTAGACTTAGTTTGATTTTAACAAAAATTGAATTCTTGGGGTTCTTTGATATGCTGAATCTAAACATGTGTTTAGATTTTTGATTATGGGCCCTGTTTTCAAGTTGGTCAAAGTTGGGGTCCAAAATTAAACTTTTTTTGATTTCAACAAAAATTGAATATATGGGGTTCTTTGATATGCTGAATCTAACCATGAATTTAGATTTTTTATTTGTGGGCCCCGCTATCAAATTGGTTCATATTGAGGTCAAAAGGGTCCAAAATTAAACTTTGTTTGATTTCATCAAAAATTGAATTATTGGGGTTCTTTGATATTACAAATCTAACCGTGTATTTAGATTTTTAATTTTAAGTCCCGTTTTTTAAATTGGTCTACATTAAGGTCCAAAGGGTCCAAAATTAAACTTAGTTTGATTTTAGCAAAAATTGAATTCTTGGGGTTCTTTGATATGCTGAATCTAAACATGTGTTTAGATTTTTGATTATGGGCCCAGTTTTCAAGTTTGTCCAAGTTGGGGTCCAAAATTAAACTTTGTTTGATTTTAACAAAAATTGAATATATGGGGTTCTTTGATATGCTGAATCTAACCATGTATTTTGATTTTGGACATTGGACCATTATAGGTAAATTAAAAAAATTCAAGTTCTTAGACCACATTCTTTCTGTGTCAGAAACCTATGCTGTGTCAAATATTTAATAACAATCCAAATTCAGAGCTGTATCAAGCTTGAATGTTGTGTCCATACTTGCCCCAACTGTTCAGGGTTCGACCTCTGCGGTCGTATCAAGCTGCGCCCCAGCGAAGCATTTTATTTTTTTTATCATTTGTTGACAATAAATAGCCTGTCTGTCTACGTTCCAAATATGTTCCGAGTGTACTTCAATGGACAACTCTTTGAAGTTTATCTCTTCTAGAATCTCGCACTGTAGACACATGTGTTTGTGCAAATTCTCTTCTGTTTGTAATTGTTGTTTAACGCATACAGATGTTTTTTATCATCGTAAAGACTCAAGTATACCTGAACTGTAGTAGACAAGTGTAGACACAACCAAAACTAATTAAAATGATCTTTATTAAATAAGGAGATGCATGGTATGTTGTTTGCTCTCTCAGTTCTAGAACTTGATGTTAACTACAGATTATAACATTGTAACTGAGTCCAGACAAGCAACATGACTTCTGTATTGTAATTTACTGTAAATATTTGATTTCATGTTGTTCAATATTATTTGTTGGTAGTATCATAATAAAGATGATGTTATACAAAGTCATACTTTATAATTACAGTTTGTTATAATTTGTTATATTTTGTATTCAAATTTCTTTTTGTTGTCACTTTTGTAAAATCAATGTTTTAATAAAAGTTAATGAAAACAACCATTAATAGTTTGTGTTCTCCGACATTCTCTGATTTGAAAGGAAATAATGTTTTTCGTAAAAACTCGTGGAAAGTTCTTACATCATTCATCAACAATTAGGCCTTAATGTCTGGTATACTAGTACTAGTTAATTGAGTTAAAATTGTTCTTTCTTCCGATGATCTGACAATTTTGAATAATGTACTGGCCTCTCACAATAATGCTGATTTCAATTAAATGTTATGATGAGATGTCATTAAACCTTTTATGAGTGTTATTATGATTCTGTTTTGTTGACCGGTGGTATAGATGTAACCAACAGCTGTGGCTACACTACATGTAATTAACCTCCTGTATGCGAGCACTTTTTGTCTCTAAATTATGTGTCTATTATTCCCTTGTTCAAAATAGTGCACGATACAGACGCGTTATTGTGCGTTTTACTTTTACAATATATGGTTTAGATAGGCAAAGGGGAGGTAACCCATTCACATTCTGTGCAATTACCAAGTCAGACTATCTGGACCGCTGTTGGTTGGTGTGGTCTGTTGTATTGTCACATATTTGTGTAGCCCTATTATCCATGTTATGTACTGTCACATATTTGTGTAGCCCTATTATCCTTGTTATGTACTGTCACATATTTGTGTAGCCCCTATTATCCTTGTTATGTACTGCCACATATTTGTGTAGCCCCTATTAGTCTTGTTATGTATTGTTTTCTCTAATTAAGGGTAACTCAATTTGTTTTATGACATTTTATATTTAAGTTGAATCCAGATTCTGGAGTACAATTGAATTACACATTGTTTTTCTCTCCGTTGCATTATAATGTCACATACAGACTCAATGTTTTAATTTTTAATAGAAACCTGTATACCTGAAATCAGTTAAACGTAAAAAATAAAAAACAAATTAAAAACAAATATAAGACTTATAGTGTTCATAGTAATTTTCAATCTTAGCACGGAAATCAATCTGGCAAAAAAAGGACACGACAGTGAATAAAGAAAATTATGTATTGGGCCTGATTTCATAATGATATAAGTATCAATCATCTAATATTAGTCAGTCCTGATTCCTTAGTGGTGTGTATCCAACCTTGTCTATTCTCCTCAATCCGTGTTTTCTCCAGCAAGAATATATCAATACAAAGAAACCCGACACTGCTATAATTATACCAGCACAAACTCCTAAAATCATCGTCATTTCGGAAACGAAAGAGCCATCATTCTAAAAAAGAAATTTATAAGAAATATATATACAACCACTTACTTCAGTACATGGCTTAACTTCTGATGTTTTTCCTATGTGCATTATGAATTCATAAAAACATAATTCAGGCTTTTGGTTTTCTATTTTTGATTGTTTCACATTTTGTCTCCAGAGACCTTTATAGATTACTATACAGTATGAGTTTTTCTCATTGTTGAAGGCCATACTGTGGTTCATAGTTGCTTAAATCTGGTGGATAGTTGTCTCGTTGGCAACTATATCACATCTCCTTATTTTATTTAGTATATAACAATGTTGCCTTGGTGACTTTTTCACTCGCTTCTGGATGGAAATAGGCAATTACTCCTGTAACAAGACTGACAATTTTGGTCACTTATTTGTAGATCTAATTTTGCTGATTCTTTTCGCATTTAACACTTTTTCTACAATTTCTTTTGGTATATCACCTTACACAAAGGGTAAAAATCGTCATTCAAGGACAATGACTCCTATAAGGAGTCCAGTGATGATTTTAGCCATGATGTCTTCTTTGTAGATCTTGTCTAGCTGATCATATATGCTGTTCAATGTATCTCTTTATATAGTTTTCATGATTATAGCCAAAATTGTTTTATAAAATGAGTAAAAATTGCTACTCAAGGGCAAATACTCCCATATGGAGTCGACTGATGATTTCAGTCAAGCTGGCTTATTTGTAGCTCTTATTTTGCTAATTATTTTCGCCTGTATAGTTTGTCTCTATCCACAATAGTTTTTGACAAAAAATGGTAAAAATTGTCAGTCAGGGGCAATAATTCATTTGAGGAGTCTGTTGACAAATTCTGGTTACAGGTAACAATAATATAATTTTTACATCGGATGTGACCTTGAAGGTCATACCGGTGTTATGTTGCCGAAGAAATTTCCTTGCCGTTTGACTGATAACCGAACGTATTTCGTATAATTACGCGGATATTATCGAGTGCAAAATGACATTCCTTATCGCTTGTTATATACTAATTTCACCAATAAATATTCATGAAAATAATTTTTAAGAACATAGATAAATGTATGAAAATGTTTTGTCGTGAGAAATATATATATCAATAGCAAATCATGGATACCGAAAATTTGTGTTAACGCATGCGGAAGAATATCTCGAGAACGTTTTGCAACAAAAGCGGGAAAATATGAACTCCTACTCAAATCCAATGTATTAGAAAAACGAATTATTACAGAAGAGTGTCCACCATGCACTTGCACTGCAGTATCATTATAATAGTAGAATAGAATGATATATAAATGGATGAAAAGCTATATATATAACTGGTATACAAACATTAATATAATATATAACAACAAACCAGAGTATACTGATAACAAATGATTATATCACTACAATATAATAATTATTACGGTGAGGTTGAATTCCCTGTCATTTATTCATCATCCACACAGGAACTTGTCTCAGAAAAAATATATCTATGTACCTTAACCTAACTTTCAGGTATAGAGATGTGATTTTTTTTCTTAGACAAGTGCTTGTTACCATCCACCAGAACTTGCGGTCATCCGATGTTCAGTACTTCAGTACTTTGATTATTGTTACCTGCAGTTATTGCTACCCGCAAAATTTCACATTTACAAATTATTACATTTTTTGTGTGTAGCATCGGGTTGCTTTGTACTGTCTTCGTATCATTGTCCCGTATATCTTGTTTTACATATTTGAACAAATTTATGAATTCATGTATGTTTCAATTTAGAATACATGATATCTTTAATTCTGATCTCTTTTTTTGTTTGTTCTTTGGATGGTGCTCCTATTTTACAAGAACTTCTATATAACAGCAAAAAAAAATGCTTCTTTGAATCGTTGAAGTTTATCATTAAAAGTTTGAAAGGATATAAACTTTTCACCGACCACAGATTGGAAATCTTTCTCATTCGAATCCATAGTTGTTTTAATCGACCCCACTATGACAAAAGAGAACGTCATATTGGTCTATACATCTGGAAGGTTAATCATGTTCATAGTTTTTCGTTTAAATTTATTTCACAGATGGCTCACAAATCAAACTTTTTTTTTATATCAGTCAATATATATTTTGCGAATAACAATAACTGCAGGTAACAATCAACTAGAGGCTCTAAAGAGCTTGTGTCGCTCACCTTGGTCTATATGCATATTCAACAAAGGATACTCTCCAACATTGTAGACAAGAATAGAATTCATGACAAAAATCTCTGTTATGTTGATCTTGTATTGCTGATCATTTATTCTGTTTAGGTTCTCTCTATCTTCTTTAGTTTTTGCTCAAAACACAAAAGAGGATAAAAAAAGTTCCTAATTTAAGGACAATCACTCCTATAAAGAGTGACAGTCTACTAACTATCGTCAAAATTTGACTTGTTAGTAGACCTTTTCTTGCTGATCATTTTTGTTTATTTAAGTTTCTATCTGTCTATTATAATTTTTATCATATAAGGCAAAACGCAAAAAAAAATGTAAAAATCGTCATTAAAGGGCAATAACTCCAATAAGGAGTCGTCGGACGATTTCCACCATATTACCTCAATTGTTGATCTTGTTTTGCTGATCATTTTTGCTTACTTAAGTTTCTATCTATTATAATTTTTAAGGTGTAAGGCAAAAACGCAAAAAATTGGTAAAAATCGTCATCAAAGGGCAATAACTCTAATAAGGAGTCGATTGACGATTTCAACCATTAGACTTATTTGTAAAACTTATCTTGCTGATCATGTTTGCAATTTAAAGTTTCTCTCTATCTTTTATAGTTTGCAAGATTGTAGGCAAAAATGAAAAAAATGGTAAAATTTGTCATTTACGGGCAATAACTCCTATAAGAAGTCGTCTGACAGTTTTGACGTAATGGACAATTGGTAGAGCTTAACATTCTGAACATTTTTGCCTTGTCAGATTTTCTCTATTTATAACGGTTTTCGGGGCCTCAGTGGCCGAGTGGTCTAACTACTGTAACCACTAGCCAGTCAACACTGAGGTTGTGAGTTCGAACCCTGCTCGTGCGGGTGCACTCGACTCCAATCTTAATTGACTAGGATTGTCAGTTTTCCTATCGAAGGTCGGTGGTTTTCTCCGGGCACTCCGGCTTCCTCCACCAATAAAATCTGGCCGCCACGAAATAGCCCAAAAGCGGTGCTTAAAAGTGGCGTTAAAACACAAAAAATCAAAAAATCAAATATAACGGTTTTCAATATAATAGACAAAACTTGCATTTTACCCCCTATGTTCTATTTTTAGTCATGTCGGCCATCTTGGTTGGCAGGCGAGGTCATCGGACACATTTTTAAAACTAGATACCCCAAGGATGATTGTGGCCAAGTTTGGTTAAATTTGGCCTAGTAGTTTCAGACGAGAAGATTTTTGTAAAAGTTAACAGACGACGACGGACGACGAACGCCAAGTGACGAGAAAAGCTCACTTGGCCCTTTGGTCAAGGTGAGCTAAAATGATGTTATTGTTACCTGCAATGTCCGATTAAAATCAAGTCCCAGCCCGAAAATACATTTTGGCAATTAGTCTCGAAAGTAACTAAGTATTTCTTATTGTTACTTTTTGCGGGTAATCGTAGCCATTGCCTTATTTAAATGACGGACAAAAGATAAACATGAATTAAAAGGTGTAATGTATACATACTGTGTTATCGTCATCTCCGTTACCAGACCCACTTAATGCATCGTTTGCCATCCCAGGAATAATTGTTGTTTGTGTTGGTAAACTGGATGTCATTGGTTCGTCTGTAGTCATATAAGTGGAAGTTGTTGCCGTAGGTCCAAAGGTGGCATCTTCATCACACGTGTCTGCTGGTAAGTGACAATCTTCCTTGATTTTACTTACGTTTGGACTGAACCATTGCCATGGCGAGAAACTGAAATAGTTAAGACATATGATTATATCCGTGCAGAGTACTTTTCAGATTTAACACAATCAGAGAAACATTTTGTAAAGAAAATAAAAGCGGGAAGAGAGAATAAATGATGTAAAAAATTGTCCCCAACACTCGATAATGAGGGCAAGGTCATTTCTCCCCATTTTATCCTTTTTTAAACATTTATATTCATCGTTGCATATTTTCCATGATAAAAAAACAATTCAAAACTTAAGAAATTGAAGCCTATGTGTATTTTCGTGTCAATTAAATGTTATTTTAAGAACGGAATTGAATGCTTCTTTTTGAAGTTTTATAGGATTTTAAAATCGTAAAAGATTTAAACAATTTCAGCATATAATGAACAGAGAAATCCTCATTGTCAACGATTTTACATTCTTAATAAAACTACAAAAAAGTGATAGTGTTATCAATAATTTATAACATACTTCAACAAAAGTTCGTTATGGCTAGGACATTTTGCCTCTACACAGAGCACGCTCTTAGTCATCTGAAAATATAAAAAAAGTATTTTATTTTGAAAAAGTCTACCATTGATTGTCTGAATAAATATTCCAGTTATGAATCAAAAGAATTAAGCCACTCAATAACTTCCAGTAAACTTGATTTTGATGATGGCAGTAATTTTGAAATGTTTTGAAGGTCAAGCAAATATAAAAAGCAAGCTGTATTCTTTTTCCTATCAGATGTTGTTTTTACAGCTATGAACCCCGATCAGAGTATACATCGGGAAAACATACGGATTAGAACTATATATATGTTGTATCTAGAAAGATTAAATCAGATGATACACGTGTTAAATGAAAGATGGCTTTTGGGGCGTATTTTATTGAAATCTCGAAGTTTTTAATGAGATTTGGTAAAGAAATTAGAAAACAATGATGTTAAATATTTCATATGCCTTTTTTTTGTTTATAAACTGTACTACTGATCTGTAAACAAACTAATATTTCCATTAAATTATGTAGTACGATATAACGATATTCCTATTGACATGTCATATCATTGTCATTGGCATGTCATATCATTCATATTGACATATCAATACCGTTCTTATTGACATGTCACACCATTCCTATTGACATGTCATATCGTTCATAATGACATGTCATATAATTCCTATTAACACGTCGTACCATTCCTATTGACATATCATATCGTTGTATTTTACATGTCATATTTTGCTTTTGACATGCATATCATTGCTATTGGCATGTCATATCATTGCTATTTATATGTCATACCATTCTTATTGATATGTCATACCATTCCTATTGACATGTTATATCGTTCCTATTGACACGAAGTAATCATAACCTGGGGTTTGATTAAACTTTCAAAGTAACATTACAACACATAGCATGTTACTAGTTATATTAGCATAATGCATGTGTTCGTTTTATTGATCAGATTAAACTAACATACTTTGAAACATATATCATTGTCACAAGTTGAAGAAGTGCATAATATCATGATATCAGTAACATAATTATATTTTGTAGCTTTGTCATAAGTTTTGTGTAGATGAATTCATAAATTATGTATCTCACTCTTAACAGTCATCCTTATTAATATCTCAATGTTTTATAATATAAATAGTATAATTTTAAAAACATATACAAGAAAATATGCTCAATGAAATACGTTATTATTCAAAAAGGTATCAAATAGCACTAAATTTTTTGATTGCTGATTTCTTAACATCAGCAAATGTTAAATGAATACTGTGGACGATCATAATATTAACGCTACCAATTTTATTGTACCAGACAATAAATGACTCTTCAGCGATGCTCGAGGCCAAAGTATCGGAAAATCCCAAACTTATAAAAAAAATGAAGAGCTTATAAACCAAGAATAATTGTAAATGAGATTTCAGAGCAGACCTTGCTAACAGTTTCATTGGCACGCTGAGTTGGGATTTAACGTGCTGGCTCAAAAAGCAGCTGATCAGAATGACATGTGACTATACTCTGATATATACATTATTATGTTCCCGAGTCGGCCAGTCTTTGCTCTTACTCTTAATTAACGCGGTCTTGAAAGAGAAGCAAAAATACCGGTCTCTAAGTCTTGTTTGACCCAGCTTGGGTCGTACACGCGACCTCAGGTACTCGACGCGATACGCTGGAACAAGACCACATGAGCGGTCTGGCACTTAATGCAAGATGCTTACCCTTGCTCCAAGTTTCAACTAAGCTAAAGCAGACATCTTAATGCAATTTAACTGAAGATACTTTTCTTATATGTATCATTATTTTTTTATACCTATCTCTTATGTTATATACCATAAAAATACAAGTGAAATGAAGTTACATTTTTGTACTAACCAAAACTTCTGGACTTTGGCAGGCGGCGTTTTCAAACACACCTTCTTGTAATTTCTGAAAATCAAAACATTTTATAAGATTGTTTTTGTGATTTCTTTTTTGTTTAGAAGTTAGGATGGTTCCAACTCATAAAACGAAGTCGGTCTCGGTTGGAATGTGTCTTTTGCATCTTAAAGCTAAGTTAAACTCACATATACATGTATTTCCCTGCCCGGGTAAGAAAATCGTGTTAATTAAGAGAGAGATAATCATTTCGTGTCAAACTTGTTTTTTTTAATTATATTTTGGATTTAACATAGTATCTACAATATATTGAATATAAAAAAGGGGATGTAGTATGATTCTATAATGAGGCACCTATCCACCAGAGTCCAAATGACGTAGATCTTAGCAACTATAGGCCAACGTAGGACGTTCAACAATAACTAAAACCTAAACCGTATTGTCACCTACAGAAAACCCCATGACAAAATGTGAACCAATTCAAACAACAACAAAAAAAAACAACATCTTGATTTATGACAAAACAATAAACGAAAAACAAATAGGATAGAAAGGAACCGACGAAAACCACATAGGATAGAAAGGAACCGACGAAAACCACCGAATTACAGACTGCTGACTTGTGAACATATACAATGAAGTGGGGTTAAACATGTTGGCGAACGTTCAACCCTACTTAAATCTGGGACAGTAGTGTAACAGAATCAATTTCAATTGTAGATTTGATATTGGAAACAGAAAAAAGGACAAGTATTCTTATATAAAGAGATGGAATATTATCTTCTATTCCAATTTAAGGTTTTAAGCATACGGTAAATATATTTTAGTTGATTTAAAAACGTGTACTTATTTGAAATGAGGTGTAAAGTAGCTCGTGACTAACACAAGCGACTAGACAATCAATGGCAAATCTCCTGAATAAAATCTAGCTTAAACTGGTTCGCATCGACCATAAAAAGGAGACTTCAAAAATGAAATGTTATATCCAGCTGTGACATGTAACAAGAGAATGGACTCCATACATGATGCATTATGATCAGGGTTGTCATACTTATCATTTTCTTTTTACAATATTTATTACTATGACAGCAAAACAAACAAACAAACAAAAATTTTATTTGCCAATCACGGCGCCCAAAAAGAGCAGAATAATTACAATATAATTTATAAACATAATATAAAAGTAAATTAAAATTAGGTTAAACAAAGTACATAACATGAATAATTTTGATTGAATTGATTAACATATAATATCAAAGTAACTGAAATAAGTAATTTGTAATAATAAAAAAAAATAATATGACCCATTGTTTTTTATTTTGGACCCTTTATTGGACAGCACACCTCATAGCATACTAACTATTAATTAAATGTAAATAACAGAAATGTAGTTCAGGTTTTGTATACGTTGTAGAGATGTACAGCCATATCAAACAAATATATTCAATACCCTGCTGAAGAAGGTAAAAGCTGCAGAAAATATCCCAAAATCAACTCAAATACCGCCATAATGTGTATCAACTCAAATACCACGAGAATGTGTATCAACTCAAATACCACGAGAATGTGTGTCAACTCAAATACCACGAGAATAAGTGTCAACTCAAATACCACGAGAATGTGTTTCAACTCAAATACCACGAGAATGTGTGTCAACTCAAATACCACGAGAATGTGTGTCAACTCAAATACCACGAGAATGTGTGTCAACTCAAATACCACGAGAATGTGTGTCAACTCAAATACCACGAGAATGTGTATCACCTCAAATACCACGAGAATGTGTGTCAACTCAAAAACCACGAGAGTTTGTATCAACTCAAATACCACGAGAATGAGTGTCAACTCAAATACAACGAGAATGAGTGCATGTCAACTCAAATACCACGAGAATGTGTGTCAACTCAAATACCACGAGAATGTGTGTCAACTCAAATACCACGAGAATGTGTGTCAACTCAAATACCACGAGAATGTGTATCACCTCAAATACCACGAGATGTGTATCAACTCAATTACCACGAGAATGTGTGTCAACTCAAATACCACGAGAATGTGTGTCAACTCAAATACCACGAGAATGTGTGTCAACTCAAATACCACGAGAATGTGTGTCAACTCAAATACCACGAGAATGTGTGTCAACTCAAATACCACGAGAATGTGTGTCACCTCAAATACCACGAGATGTGTATCAACTCAATTACCACGAGAATGTGTGTCAACTCAAATACCACGAGAATGTGTGTCAACTCAAATACCACGAGAATGTGTGTCAACTCAAATACCACGAGAATGTGTGTGGGACACGTATTTGTGTGAAGTAATAAATGATAAAGTAAAATATAGTTAATCTTTTTAATAAACGGGTATACGGTGCGTTTTAACATTTAAAAAAAAAATTCATGGTATTTAAACAAACAAATCTTCTTGCAGCAGTACTTCATATATGATGTCCCTCTTATACGAAAATAAGAACTGATCGGCATCATGTATAGCATGTTGTTATTGTAATATTCTATGTATATCAAGGGCAAATAGAACACAGTACAGTACAGTAGCTAAGTGAAAATAAGTTAGAATATGACAGAACATTTACTAAAAACAGTAAAACACAAAACATTATATATATATATATATATATATATCGAAAAAAGGGGGGTGTCAATTCCCAAGCGCCTATAATGTGTTGTAGTGCTTTGTATTGTCATTGGTTACAATTCAAAGTTGGATTTTATATCAATAAATTAACTGGTATAATTCGTAAATTCACAAGTGATCTTACTGCAATAAAGTTTCCTCGTCAATTCAACCGGTTCATTTGTCAATAGAATTGTCATAATTTTGCAAAGCTTTAATAATAATACTAATAATAATACTGAACTTTAATGCGACCATTAAAATGACAAGTAACTATTTATAAAAGTACTTACCTTGTTGTTATTGTCTCTTAGGAATTCCACCACAGTCACGTGATATGCTGCCAATAAATGACCATAACAGGTTAAATCCAGCTGATGGTCATTTCTCATATCACAAAGCATGTTTATAGCTTCAACGGTAAAATTCATTCTCTAAAATTAAGATATAAATAAATGTTTCTGTCTGGAGAACATGATTTATTTATTACGGTTGTAATTGGCTTTGAACTAGCTGTGTTCTTATATAGGTGCTTTGTGTCTATTGTTTTCATTTTAGCTGTTTTTGTGACAAGTACCTACCTATTATTTTAAAATATTTGCAAATGAATTTTATAGTATATTCTATGTTGTGTTGTTACACCACTGTCCCAAGTTAGAGGAGGTTGAGCGCTAGCAAACATGTTTGACAACACAGCCTGTCCCAAGTCAGGAGCCTGTAATTCAGTGATTGTCGTTGAATAATGTGTGCCATATTTGTTTTTCGTAAATTGTATTGTTATAAATTAGGTCGTTAGTTTTTCTCGTTTCAAATTTTTTATGTTTTTTATAGGCTTTTGATAACTGACAATACGGTATAGGTTTTCTCATTGTTGAAGATCGTACGGTAACCTTAAATTGCTTTCATCGCCGTCATTTGAACTCAGTGATGGATACTAGTAGTTATCTCATTAGCAATTATACCACATTTCCTTATTTTTATATCAGTATCAATAGTATTGGATTCAGTCTAGCTCAATGATTTTAGTGGATTGTTGAAGGCTAACAGACGACGGACGAAAGTGACGCAAAAGCTCAGACTAATTATTTTTGTCGGGCCATCCACCCCACCCCCCCCCCCCCCCTTTCCAAAAAAAAAGGAAGGAATTTATATAAAAAACAGTATGCTTGCCGATGAGACAACTATCTACGAAAGACCAAAGGCCAGCAATGTGAACAGCTGCAGATAACCTTATGGACTTCAGCAATGAGCAAAACTCACACCGTATATTAACATGTAGTGGGTACGGATGACAAAAGGAGGAACATTCAAAACTAGAAGAAGGCGATCTAGTGATTACGAATACCCCAGTTTGCAGAAAAAAAAAATCTTAAACAGTAAGTGCAAAAACTGAAATATAATTATTAAGGTAACTATGGGCATAACTCTTGAATGGTAAATTACAAAACCATCAAAATTAAACGTGACCTATATTTTATGGTTCATGGCATTATGTTTAAGCTTTAAACGATTTGATCAAGCTTTACTTTAATTATCATTCCGAATCCGAAGTGAATCCAACTTATAAGTTTACTAAGAAACATAACTGTTGAACTCATTAAAATTAAAGTTGGTCTGTATAATATATATGATCCGAAATATTGTGTGCAAATTTATTAAGATTTGATCAGGCAGTGTACTCTAAAATTATCACAAGGAAACCAAAAAATGTGATTATTGAGGTAAATATGGGTAATACTCTTGAACTGTAAATGTAAAAACTATCAAAATTAAACGTGACCTGTATTTTATGGCTCATGACATTATGTTTAATTTTCAAAAGATTTGGTCAAGCTGTACTCTAATATCATTCTGAAACCGAAGAAAACCGAACTTATAAGTTATAAGGTTATTTAGGAACATAACTTTTAAAATGTTGATGTAAAAATCCTCAGAATCAAACTTGGCCTGTATAATATGATGCATGACATTGTGTGCAAATTTTAAAAGATTTTGTCAAGCGATACCATAATTACCATCAGGAAACCAAAGAGATGTAAATCTTAAAGTTACTTAGGAACTTAATCCTTGAAAACCGAATTTGACCTGTATTTAATGGTCATGGAGTTGTGATCAAATTTAAACAGATTTGGTCAAGTGGTACATAAAGTATCATCCGGAAACCAAACTTGTGTCGGGCCATAAAATGGGACCGTGGTGTAGCAGCACAACACAAGAACCAACTGTAAATATCAATCCGAAAGGGTTAGATCGGTACGCAGCTGACAAAAATTCCCATAAACATACCTTGTATTTTACATAATGTATTCTACGTAATAGTTCTTACCTCTTGTATATTGTATAGGACATCTGGTGACATTGTCAGAATAGTACTTACCTCTTGTATAGGTCATCCGGTGACTTTGTCAGAATAGTACTTACCTCTTGTATAGGACATCCGGTGACATTGTTCAGAATAGTTCTTACCTCCTGTCTAGGACATCCGGTGACATTGTCAGAATAGTTCTTACCTCCTGTATAGGACATCCGGTGACATTGTAAGAATAGTTCTTACCTCATGTATAGGACATCCGGTGACATTGTCAGAATAGTTCTTACCTCTTGTATAGGACATCCGGTGACATTGTTCAGAAAGGTGTCAAAACACGACAAGGATGACGATTGACAGATTTGAGAGAAGATTTCAGAATCCTTTACCATGGCAGCTTTCTCCATCATTAACCCATTCCAATAGGAAAACTCGTCGTATAAACACCAGTGTCCAGTAGCACAATTCAGAAGTAATGCTTCAATCACGTCATTTGAGAACATAATTCCATAAACATCCCAAATGTTCAAATCGACAAGAAGCGAAGCCAACCCAGTACCACACAACTCTGTTAATGTAAACTCCGCTCCGCATCTTTCTTCCAACAAGACAGATGTCGTAGATGAAGGACGTGACAATGTCGGTGCTAGAGTCACGTTTCCATCGATGGTAACATTTTTAGATGGTAGATTTACATTACTGGTGTTTGACACTCCTAATTGAGAAGATGTGGTAAGTTTCGTGCCAGTTTGTGTTGGTGTTGCTTTGCTCGTTCCGGCAGTGTTGGTTGAGAATTTGTTGGTGAACCAACTGAAAGTAGACGGTAAAGTCGTGCTATTAACAGTCACATTTTTAGTATCTCCAAGAATACTGTCTAACATTTGGGCAAATAATTGTCCTACACTCAAATGTTCTTGATCATCTCTTTTCGACTGTTTTAGCTGAAAGGCCAAACTAACAGTCAAACTCGAATATAAGCCCAGAAGAACTAACACACTGCAAATATTAAGATTCATTACTCACCAGCGACCAACACTTCATTCAGTGAAATAAAACACGTTTTGTGTATAAATCAATGCAAGTAGATGCAGAAATAGACCTTAAGAAATCATTTTATCGAGGTATCCTTCTATCGATGTATGTTATCAAAAGTATGTGTCACCTCCTTGTAAATCTTTAATAAATGTAAACATACAATTAATTTTAATTCAATTTGATTGAGGCACCAGTGCATCGAACATATAAGTGTTTTTTTTCTATATTCAAAAAACCTTTATTTCAAATCAGAGGTTTAAAAATTATACATAAAGATAAAGGAACGTTCGGAGGGTTTACGATGACAGTATATGGCTTCAAATTTCAGACTGGGTGAAAACTAGATGTCCAAAATATTTATTCCGCATTTCTTTACTTTATATTATAAACAATTCCCTTATTTAGCTCCTCTAACAACACATGTCGCACTGATTGATTCTGGATACAGATGTCCAAGTCTTTATATATAAATCTTTCAAAATTCCATAAAATCGATAACTTATTTCGTTGTGCTTATTTCACTGTTGTAGTATTGGTTTAAAAAACTATCAGAAACTGTTTTATTTTAACCAACAATTATAGATAATACAGATGAAAAGAAAAAGAAAATCAGATCAAAGTACTGAAGTACTGAACATCGGATGACCACAAGTTCTTGAGGATAGTCAAAAGCACTTGTCTCAGAAAAAAAACAACATATCTCTTTACCTGAAACTGAGGTTAATGTACAGAGATATATTTTTTTCTGAGACAAGTTCGTGCGTGGATGATGAATAAATGACAGGAAATTCAACTTCACCGTAATAACTATTATATTGTAGTGATACAAATCAGTATACACTGATTTGTTGTTATATATTATATTAAAATAACAGTTACATATATATATGATTTGCATCCATTTGTATATCATTCTATTCTACTATTCTAATAATAGTGCAATGCAAGTGCATGGTGGACACTTTTCTGTAAAAATTCGATTTTTCTAAGATTGGATACGAGTAGGCATTCATATTTTCCCGCAAAAAACAATTACAGCGTTACCGGTCCTTGCCGGTATTTTCGCAAAACGTTCTTTGAGATATTCTTCCGCATGCTTTAACACAATTTTTCGGTACGTGTGCATTGATATTATCAATGATTTTTTACTTATGTATATATATCTAACTACAAAAAATTTTCATATTATTAATTTATGTGGTAAACAAAAATATTTTTATCAGTATTCATTGAAGAAATGTATTTATATCAAACGATAAGGAATGTTATTTTGCACTCGTTTATGTGCGCATATTTTTCATGTTTATAGACCGGTTACAAACCCAAAACTAATTTACATAATGGAAATCTAGGCGATAGCAAAACATCGGAATGACCTCAAGGTCATCGCGATGTAAAAAATGATACATATGCCTATAAAACTGCGACCCCAACATCACACTGCAATCGACAAGGTTCATCCTGATGTCTCAAAGTTGGTTTAATCGTAGAAAGTCTACTTTTCTATAACACAGAAATGTTTACAACAATTCTAAAGAGAAGAGCTAAAGTCTAAGCATAGATATGATATTCCATTATATGGCTATTATATATCTAGGATCTAAGTATTTAATATACTTATAGAAATGGCGTGGTTCTTGGTCCTATTTAATTAACATGTGCAATAAGCGGGTTTCTACATATTAATACGCACTCGGTGTTAAAACATTTTTAATATCATCATGTATATTTGTTATAACATCGTTCACATCATATAAACAGTCACTGCAATTTAAAGACAGGAAACGTGTCAAGGGTTAAATTGACATGCCCCTTTTGATATTTTTTTCGTTTTTTGCCTTCAGGGTTTTTTTTTTATCATTTACCATACGGTATTTGTGTTGCCCCATAATTTGTACCTGTCGTGTTACTCATGACAAGTATAAATCACGTGATAAATTGCATTCGGCATGTTCGGTGATATCATAAACAGTGAAAAGAGGGCATGGTTGTGGCTACAAAAATGGAATATTTCTGCGGTCATCTGTGACAAAGATATTCCGGAACGATTCTCAATTTAAACGTTCTTAAGTTAGAATTGGTTTCTATTTTAGCATTAGAACAAAAGGTTAAGTTTTTTCCTCGTAATTAAGCATTAACCCTCTATCAAATAAACCTCGAAAGATATCACAAGCAGGCGCAGATCCAGCCATTTTTAAAAGGGGAAGGGGAGTGTTCCAACACATGCAATTCATATAAAAAGGGGGGGGGGGGGGGTTCCAACCATATCATAGTGTCCCCATACAAAAACCCCGCCCCCCTCCATCCCCCCCCCCCCCGGAACAATCCCCCCTTGGATCTGTCACTGACAAACATAACAATTAGGAGATTCATACTCAATATGCAGATGCTGATGTTCAGAAATGTGCTAGGTGTTCATGTGTTTCTTCCGAATCAGTTATTGTCTCTAGTTATATCTGAATTTAATAAATAAAAAATTAGGACAGCTATTTCCCCAGAGACAAAATGACTAAGAGATTAGCAATTATAGGTCGCCGTTCGGCCTTCACAATGAGCAAAACCCATACCACACAGCGAGCTATAAAAGGCCCCGAAATAACAATGAAAAAATAAACGGCCTGACTTATGTACAAAATTCAGCAAACGGAAAACAAACAAACAAACGACAACCACTGACAACCACTGAATTACAGGTTCCTGACTTGGAACAGGCACATCAACGCTTTCACAACCCTATAAAATTATAAAAAGAGGCATTCAATTCTTATAATTACATTTGTATGATACAACCATGAAATTAAGAGTTAATTCAAGCTATCCGTTTTTTTTTCTATATAAAAATAAGAAGATGTGGTATGATTGCCAATGAGACAACTCTCCACAAGAGACCAAATGACACAGAAATTAACAACTATAGGTCACCGTACGACCTTCAACAATGAGCAAAGCCCAAACCGCATAGTCAGCTATAAAAAGCCCCGCAATGACAAATGTAAAACAATTCAAACGAGAAAAATAACGGCCTAATTTATGTACAAAATAATAATTACATTAGATGTATGTTTCATTATTATACGTTATTTTGATTGGTTAACAGCAATCTCGCGTCATTCTTCATTTCAAAATGAATTTCATGAATTGTAACATACCTGATGACACACGTTTCCACAATAAAGTGCACAGGTAAATGAAATAACAAAATGATAGTAATCGTGTTTTCATGTTCATAGCGAAAAAATGTAATTATAAGTATTGAATGCTTCTTTTGGTAATTTCATAGGGTTGTAAAAGCGTTGACCGAACGTACATTTTCAGAATGAAGCGCTTCCGCGCTTCATACAAAATGTATTTCGGTCAACGCTTTTACACCCCAATAAATTTACAAAAAGAAGCATTTAATTCTTAAATGAACGCAAAACAAATATGGTACAAAAACAGTTATACATTTAATAGAACTTAATATGAACTATGTGAATAACAGATGTGAACTACGAGTCGTACTACTCTCTCTTTTGTTTTTTTTTATCAATAGTTGTAAAGTACACTCACTTCAACTTGCCCAGTTCATCTTTTTTATTTTATAGTTGGATGCTTTTCGCCTGATAGTTATATTCTCATTGTCAGTTGAGGCTGGTGGATACTTTTTGTCGACATCTTTTAAGCTAAGATAATTGACAATGCTTTGGAATTCAACACCTTCCATTTTTGTTTATATAAAATTATAACTGGTTCTTAATTCACTGAGTAACGTTTTGGTAATAGAAAATTAAATATAGTTTTTTGTTTGAGTTAAGCCTTCCAATTGATATTTTATAGTGTGTCTTTCTATGTTGTGATGTTATACTATTGTTTCAGAAAAGGGAGAAGGTTTGGTACCATTAAAACGTTTAATCCCGCTGCAAATGTTTGCACCTGTCCTAAGTCAGGAATCTGATGTACAGTAGTTGTCGTCTGTTTATGTAGTTTATACGTGTTTCCCGTTTCTCGTTTTTATATAGATTAGACCGTTGGTTTTCCCGTTTGAATGGTTTTACACTAGTAATTTTTGGGGCCCTTTATAGCTTGTTGTTCGATGTGAGCCAATTCTCCGTGTTGAAGGCCGTACCT